ATTGGCTTTGGGGGGTAATGGCTCAAACCGTTTAGGAATGAGGGGCAAAAATGGGGAAAAGACGAGGATTTCCTTGTTAATGGACAATCACTTTTAAGTACAATGTTAAATTTGGATAACCTCCCTTACACTGCTTTAAAATTATGTATAAAGAAATTTTGTATTGTCTTGAGGTGATTAGCTGTCAATTTATTTTTAGAAGTTACTAATTAAAATGCTGATTTAAGATATATTATTTTTAGACATGATTATGGATGTCATTTTCTATTTTAATATAAAATTGAGAATGGAAATGGGGAATGTGGCAAAGAGACAACAACCCGACCATAGAGCAGACAACAGCCGAAGGCCACCAATGGGTCTTCAATGCAGCGAGAAACTCCCGCACCCGGAGGCGTCCTTCAGCTGGCTCCTAAACAAATATGTATACTAGTTCAGTGATAATGGACGTCATACTAAACTCCAAATTATACACAAGAAACTAAAATTAAAAATGATACAAGACTAACAAAGGCCAGAGGCTCCTGACTTGGGACAGGCGCAAAAATGCGGCGGGGTTAAACATGTTATTTGAGATCTCAACCCTCCCCCTATACCTCTAGCCAATGTAGAAAAAACAAACGTACAACAGTACGCACAGTAAAACTCAGTTTAAGAGAAGTCCGAGTCCGATGTCAGAATAGGAAACAAAAGAAAATAAACAAAATGACAATAATACATAAATAACAACAGACTACTAGCAGTTACAGACATGCCAGCTCCAGACCTCAATTAAACTGATTGAAAGATTATGTCTTCTATATATGAATATCAGGCACAATCCCTCCTGTTAGGGGTTTAGTATTATACCGTCATAAAATATATGAGAAGAACATAACCCGTGTCATGCCAACAACTGGTTTTAGAATAAATATGTTTAATTCCGATGCAAAGACCCTATAAGTGAATCAATATTAAAGCCAAAATATGCAATCTTTAATGACCTGACAACAGTATCGTAACTATATCCCTTCTTAATAAGTCTATTTAAAGGTTTTGTTAGCTTTTGAGGTGAATACTGACATTTTTGTGCTTTGTAAAGAATATTACCATAAAAGATTGGATGTGAAATACCCGAACGTATAAGATGTCTGCATGTTAAGTTATATTTACGAATGATGTCCTTATACCGATGATAAAATTTAGTAAATGTTTTGACTAGTTTATGATATCGAAAACCCTGGTGTAATAATTTTTCAGTAATATATAAATTTCTCACGCTCAAATCTAATACGTTGTTACATACACGAGCGAATCGTACAAGTTGAGATATATAAACACCATAAGATAGTGATAAGGGAACGTCACCATTTAAAAATGGATAATTAACGATAGGAAATGAAAAATCATCTCTTTTATCATAAATTTTTGTATTAAGCTTCCCGTTAATGATATAGATATCAAGATCGAGGAAAGGACAGTGGTCATTGTTAGTATTAGCTTTATTTAAAGTAAGTTCAACAGGATAAATTTCTTTAGTATACATACTGAAGTTGTAATTATTGAGAGCCAATATATCATCCAAATATCTAAAAGTATTGTTAAATGTTTGTATCAGATTTGGTTTCGATGGGTCTTTGCTGATTTTAGTCATAAAATTGTAACTCATAACAATACAAAAACAGGTCCGCAATAAGTGGTGCACAGTTAGTCCCCATTGGAATTCCGATAACTTGACGAGATACGGAATCTCCAAAGCGAACAAAAATGTTATCAAGTAAAAATTCAAGAGCAGATATAGTATCAAAGCATGTCCAATTGACATAGCTCTTTTGTTTGTTGCTACTAAAAAATGACCTAAAATAGTTTGAACATATGTATTCGCATTCCGACTTTTTAAATGCCCATTTAATTAGGTGTGTGATTTTTTTCTTAATAAGAATATGAGGCAAAGTGGTATATAGGGTAGAAAAATCAAAACTTTGAACAGATTCAAAATCTCTAATATATGCATGCAATTTATCAAGTACTTCCAACGAGTATTTGACACTCCAAAAGTAGTTAATTCCACTATTTTCAAAGGCCTTATTTGAACAATTTATTATCAGGTTTTTGATTGTACCAAGTGTACTAGTAAGTAGAATAGACAATTTAGTAGTGGAACAATGACTTGAAGACGAAATAAATCTATATTTGTAAGGTGATTTGTGTAGCTTCGGAAGCCAGTACATAGTTGGGACTTTCATGATGTATTTAAATGGGTAATTATGGTTGCAAACTCCATTGGAAATTTGAAATTTGAATTGAGATAATGACCATATCTTGAGGGAAAAAAGAAATTGTGGGAAATTTTTGCCATTTTGTTTTTGTAGGGGGGGGGGGGTCAGTTTGCAACAGCATAGTATATTGCACAAAAGCAAAAAAAAGGGGGGGGGGGCAATTCGCAACAGCATAGTGAATTGCACAAAAGCAAAAAATTGAATATAAATTCAAATCATATGACCAATTCTAAGTTCTTTGACTACAGTTATTCTGTGTCAGAAACCTATTATGTGTCAAACATTTAATTTCAATCCAAATTCAGACCTGTATCAAGCGCGAATATTGTGTCCATTTTTGCCCCAACTGTTCAGGGTTGGACCTCTGCGGTCGTGTAAAATTTGTATGTTCAAAATGGCCATTGGGTTTTTTAAGATGTCAAAAATTTGAATTAAGAAAGTTTACATTTTCACAGAATTTGGTGTTTATGACTTCAGAAAGATTGTGTTAAAATTTATATGCATTTTTATTCCAAAGAAATTAATGGAAGTGGTGTGTTTCTTTTGTTAGTGAGTATAGTACAAAATGCTTTTCTCCATATATCTATGATGTATCCGCTATTGTACCAGAGCAGTAACATATAAAAAAAAATAGCCTCATCTACACTTTATAATAGCCTATGGGATAATTCTTAACTTTCATTATCAAACAAATATGACAACTAGCGGTCAGCACCTGGTCTTGCACCATTTGCATTTACTGTCCTGTTTAGACATCTTCAACAGAGACAACTAAATATCTGACAATTACACCAAATTCATTTAAGATGACTTAAACTTAGGACAGATATATAAACTTTGTGTTAATTTTGATTTGTGAGAACTTGACCTCACCTTCTTACCAATGGAAAAACAAAAAAGAGGATGGAAGTTAAGAATCAGAAAAATATATTATAAACACCAAAGATCAGTTTTCAGCAACCTAATCTTCACCTGTTGTGTTGTAAAAAAAAAAGGTTACTGTGATCTAATTTATTGGGATTAAGAATTACCAACCAAACATTTTGATGCATTGGTTCAAAGTATATTTTCTGTAATATTTCATAAATATCAGTCATTCTTTTGCTGCAGTGTCTAAATGTTTGATTCTTATGACCCTTAAATCAATAGATTTTTCTTTACATGCTCCCCCCAAAACAATCTGGAGCATATAGTAAATTGCTCTGTCCTTCCGAGTGTCAGAAACAAATGGTTTATGGGTGATACCTTGAGTATCAGTAGCTAGATTGAATGAAACTTGTACAGGTGAAAGATATAAGGAAGGGAAAGAAGCCTGCTGTTTTTGTGATAATCAATAGATTAAAGGTCAAGGTCACTTACTATAAATAGATTTTATTTTGAACCTGATAACTTGAGTTTCCCTTGCTTGGTTAGAATGAAACTTACACACAATGAAGACAGGGAAGGGGGAGAGGTGTTTTAATTTTGGTGTCAATATGTGAAGGGTCGAATTCACTGTTGCTAAAAATAAATAACTTGTTTCAGGATGACAAATTGGGTTTTCTTTAACTTTAATTGGAATGAAACTTAAAAATATTTAGGATGCGGGGAAGGGAGAGAAGCCTATAGATTTTGGGATTGAAGCCTATTAATTTTGGGCTATATAGGATTATTGTCAAGGTCAATTGCTAAAATAAAATAAATTTGGAAAAAATGTTATTGGTTCAAAAAATGAGTTTTTTTATTCCTTGGTTGGAATGAAAATTATACGGATGGAAGACAAAGGGAAGGGGAAGAGGCATTAAGATTTTGGTGTCAATATGTCAAGGGTCAAGATCACTGTTGCTAAAAATAGAAAAATGGTTTCAGGATGGTACTTTAAAAGAGGGACGAAATATACCAGAGGGACAGTCAAACTCATAGATCGAAAACAAACTGACAATGCCATGGCCAAAAATAAGAAGATAAACAGACAATAGTACAGATGACACAACATAGAAAACTAAAGACTAAGCAACACGAACCCCACCAAAAACTGGGGGTGATCTCAGGTGCTCCGGAAGGGTAAGCAGATCCTGCTCCACATGTGGCACCTGTCGTGTTGCTTATGTTATTACAAATCCGGTAAATAGTCTAATTCGGTAGGTCACATTCGTGAAAAGGGAAGGGTATTGAAGTTACGACATAAGGAACATATCCGATATCATCTGTGAAACGGTTATTCCATAATAATAAATAATAATAAATTCCATAATAAATTTCCCGGCCTTGTTTGATGGGAATGAAACTTATATAGATTGAAGATGTGGGGAAGGGGAAGAAGCCTATTGCTTTTGGGACCAAAGGTCAATGTTTACCAGTATACCAGTCATATATTATAGTTGAATTTGTTCTTACATTATTGACAGGCAACTTTAATTAATGGACTTTTTTGGTGTACCTAAGGAAGAATAATTCAAATATGATCTAACCCGAATAATTCAGTCGTTATATTCCGCTGATCTACGAAGGCTACATTAACGCCTGAACGTCTTCCTCGATAAAGACCGTCAACCGGAAAATTCACACCGCTATGTGTGGGAGAAAATCGGACACGGAAAGGGCTTGAATTATTCGAGTTAAATATGATCATATCTTTTGTTAACTGTCTTGGTGTTTATGTGTGTGCTACTTATTGTGACTGTCGACTACTATGTAGTATCCCCCACCTTGCAGGCCCATGATTGGACATTAAATATTCTATTCAAAAAGGTGTATAACATATAGGTTACATATCGCTTTAATGAAGCTTCTATTTATTGTCTCTTACTAGTAACAAGATTATAAAATTTTCAATATAGAAACGAAAGACATCAGTATCTTGGACAGCGTTTAGCGATTGTACTCTTCGTTGTCTCTCGGCATTCACATGTGTGATGATATGTCACGGACCACTTTCCACTGTAAGCTGTCTAAGCATGCCCCCTTGATATATTATATAAACACTTTAATCAACTGAGTGGGGAGGAATCAGTGTTCCGTGATTGCCATCGCCATAAGTCATCACCTTAAAAATGGAAAAAATGGAAAATAAGCTATGATTGAAAAAAGACTTATGTAGTGTCAAGTCACAGTAGCTGCAACTAAGGTATCAAGATATAGAAATACATAACATGTACATTTCATTGTGAAAATACTGAAAACATCATTACTTTCAAAACTAATCTTATATGAGTAAAAGTAAATTTTGAGTAAATGTTTCAATCAGTCATTAACTTGGCATGAAAACAACACAAAACTATAATATGTGACAATAGGACACATTGTCCACAACGCACTTTATTATTTACATGTATATTGGACCGTGATATCTTGGCCAAAATCTTAATTTGGTATATATTTTAAACGGTTCCCTTGAATCCCTTCATAATCAAGGTGTACAAATTGTCAAGTTGATGTGACCATAAACTACCCTAAACCAAAACTTTAACTTGAAACGGGACGGATGGATGCACAGACCGTAAAACATCAATACTATCGTAGGGACGGACGGATGCACAGACCGTAAAACATCAATACTATCGTAGGGACGGACGGATGCACAGACCGTAAAACATCAATACTATCGTAGGCAGGGCATACACTTTTTACAATCTACAACAAAAGACAAATGTCAGTTTCACAATGTCAAGCTATAATCACCCTAATTTGTCGTTTTTTGGTTGGACGGCAGGATTAGCAGTCGGGTGGAGAAAAATGTTTATCTAATTTGTGGAATCAACTCATCATACAACTTTCAACGCAGATCCCTGACACATCATGCACAGGAATATGGCACATATGTTGAGGTTGTGCAACTGTTATTATAGAATTGTTTGAGGATTTTTATTCCTTTTTCCAGACTAGCCAGGGAACTTAATCATTTTTTCAGCTAAATTAATGAAAGAATAGTGCAAGTTTGGGGTAATCAACCCCATCTTTACAGTTTTCAATCCATATTCCTGAAGCTTTATAAGAAATTTGCACGTATGTTGAAGTTGTGCACTTGCTATTATCAAATTGTTTGGGGAATTTTTATCTCAATTTTCCGTACTTGGGATCTTAGTTATTCTTCAAATATTTAAATGTTCAGTATAGAGCATTTTCCATTGTTTTGGAAACATTCTACGCAACCCGGCCATTTTAGTCTTTGATCTATTTTTTCTTATTGAGTACACCACGTACATGTTTTGCTCTCATTTTATAGGATTTTGCAATAAAGTGAGCCCAATAACTTTGTGTGAGAAACTTTATTTAGTAGCCTAATGTGAAAACCCGACTGTTTGGAACCGATTTTATAAAATAGAAAGCTTTATTATCCTATTTCAAGTGCATAAAAAGATTTTCTTATAAATAGTCTTATATTAATCTCCGTATCTCCATCAACAAGTTATAGAACGGAAGATTGTCATGCCTGTCACAGAACTTAAACTTTTTATGTCCAATATTTTGTGGTTTTCTAAATGTATATACACTCATTCATATTGATATTATTTCATACTCAGAGAATACCGGTATGTTTGACGCTATGACATTCGCGCCTGTACCAATTGGAGTACACCTAACATAATATTTCTTAACCCTCTAAAATATTGTATTTTAGCATTCCGAGCACTGGTTATACAACAGTTGAGAATAATCCTTTTGGTACATGAATTTGCAGATAAATTAGTCCTGGAAGAAACTTAATTACACGTCATGAATGAGAAAAAAGTGGAAAAAACGCGACATACCAAAGGCCAAAAATTATTTTGATCCAATGATAATACTTCACAGCAAGGTCGTATTATCTCTCCTCCACACCAATCATTAAAAGCTGAGGTTTTCTTGAAAAATGAAATTTGAACTGTGGCCCAAGATTAAAATCTACATGGCTGCATGAGTAATATTTAACATTACGACACCTGATTTCCATATACGAAACAAACAATTAGTACGTTAACATAAATGATTGATTGATTGTTGGTTGCTTACTTAACACAAAGGAAGAAATGATGATGGCAGATAATCGAAACTTAGAAAAAATGATAATAATAATGTAATATTCATATGTATAGGTAAAGCTTATCTTACACATTTCATTTAATCCTTTTGTGGCTTTCCAACCTAGCTCTTCCAACGCTAAATCTGGTTTACAATAAAAAGATCCTATATCCTCTGGTCTACGATCTGCTATTCTGTACTTCACCTTATAAAGATACATTAATCCTCGTCGTATTGAAAAAAAATTCATGATGCATGCCGTGGAACATTGATCTTTTTTAAAGTTTTATTTTACGAAAACATTCTTCTATTTATAGTTGCAGTTATATAAGGACTTTCCATTAAAGTCCAGAATTATTTCAGCAGCACTCGAGAATGACGAACTATATTTATAGGTTAATGCCTTGCATATTCCACAGTTTGTGTTTTTATCAAAATTTCCTTGAGTTATAAAAAAAAATCACATCTTTGCCATCCTTCCTCTAGAACATTCTTTAAGACAGCCTTTTCCGTATTATAATAGTATGGTTATTTCTTTGTTTGTACTTCTTTCGTTGAAGATTGTTTATAACTCGTTTGATATCTTCCTCTTCTTCCACTCTTATTAAACAAGTCAAGCTTCTCTTATTCGATAGCTTATTCAATAACTGATTCAATAACTTAATTCGATATCTTATTCCAAAACTTATTCTTAAAACAAAACGTTGGACAAATATTATTGAATGACATTATCATTAACAGCAAATAACATATATTTGGATGTGTTGAAAAAAAACAGAAACCTTATTCGAAAACTTATTCAATATCTTGTTCGAAAACTTATTAGATAACTTATTGGATAACTTATTGGATATCTTACTAGATAACTTATTGGATAAGTTATTGGATAACTTATTGGATATCTTATTAGATAACTTATTGGATATCTTATTGGATAACTTATTAGATAACTTATTGAATATCTTATTGGATAACTTATTAGATATCTTATTAGATAACTTATTGGATAACTTATTGGATAACTTATTAGATAACTTATTGGATAACTTATTAGATAACTTATTGGATATCTTATTAGATAACTTGTTCTTAGAACAAAACGTTAGGCAAATATTTCTGAATGACATAATTATTAATAGCAAATAACTTATATTTGGATTTTGACGTGTCGCATTATATAGTTTTCAGTTCTTGAATTTACAGACAAACATATCGAAGATTGGAAGTTCGAAAAAAAGAGACCGCATCTAAACAGAAAAGATTAAAAGGCCACACTTACTTGTTTACCCGATGATTTACTCATAGCATTTATCATATCCAGTACAGAATGACATTGGCCTGATCCTATGTTGTATATCTGTAAAATAACAGACAATGTTCCTTCGCATTGTTCGATGTCTCAGTAAACACGAGAATGTAATGTAATTATATACAATATATATTTATTTATACTTTGAATTAAGATCCCTTAAGTGAGCTTATTAACCCAAGTAATCCAGTTCTATGAAGGACGAAACTTTCTATTCTGGGTAAGTTGCAAAGAACACATTTAAGCTTTTTTGGTACCATTATATTTTACACTTTTTTTCTGTTTAAAATCTCACCCGTAAACCACATTCCTTCTCCAACTGCTTTTGTGCTAATACGTGTGCGTAGGCAAGATCCACCACATGAACGTAATCCCTGACACCTATAAAATGGAAAACTAGATAATTAGCCTGAATAAAAATTAATTAACATCAACACTAGTCCCAATCGGCATGACTTAATTTTCTTTTAATATTTGCTACTGAAAATTAAGCAGCCAACAATTAATCATTGCATACCACACAGCCTGAGAATTAGTTTGTTGAAATAATATAAGCTCCATTCCCATACATCCACATTATATCTATTATCAAAGAAATCTTTTTAAAAATATAGATTAACATAGTTTAAGTAAAATATTTACCCGTGCCATCATGGGTATCAAAATCATTTCCATATATGACAACTTCCGATCTTTTTCCAGCCGCTACCTGTGCACAGTATGATATTAAGTATGCAGGTGGACCCTGTGTATTGTCACCAATCTTACCAGACTGATGGGCACCCGCTACATTAAAGTAACGTAGAATGATTATGTTCCAGCCCTGTAAAAATATATAACAACAAATTATTATACAATTGATATTGTACATCGCAGCTGTCTGGAACAACTGTACGATCATCTAAGGATAATACATATATCATATCATCAATTACTTAAATAGGAATATAATCACACGGATAACAGGAAAATCATGGCAAGGATAATACATACATCATGAGATTCTTAACATTCAATTACTTGAATATGAATAGAATCACATTAATAAGACATAATCTGTGCAACTCAGTTTGAAACAGCGTCAATGCATATCATTTATATTTGATCTGGTAAATTTAAAAGTATACTCTCGAAGCATTAACAGCTTTTTTTTTATATGTTAATGAAACTTGATGCAGTGAATATTATGGAACCTCTAGCATTACAAGTTGATATCCCTTAATCATAAAAATATCCTGAAATAATGTGAAATAACAACAATAGCTAAGATACCTTTGAAGGCCAAGTTGGATATTTGTACGGTATTGTTTAGGGATAAATTGTTATAGTAATCACATGGCATCATGCTTCTCGCCAGAACACGTGTAATAAGAAAGAAAACATTCCATTCTGAAGATAAAAAATGAGAGGATATTTGATAGCTAAAATGGCTATTCTGTAGAGTAAAAAGGCCAGAAGTTCTTATGCATGAAATTGGCCTTGCAGGCTAGCTTCTTCTTGAATATGTTTAGATTGGACAAGTGTTTTTTTTTTTTTATCAGGAAACTATACTGAAATATAAATGTCCGTGTCGGGGTGGGGAGGCGATAAATGGTTTGATTGATTAATATTTGTAGATTGGTGTGGATATTGGTTACTCATATGACTTACTTGTTCTGCCTTGCATAAATCTTTAAACAGTTCTTCCATACATTGCTTTGTTTTACCGTACGGTTTAACACCTCGTCCAGTGCGGTGATTCTCATCCAAAGGTAAATATTCGGGAGGACCATAAACAGATGCTGAACTTGAAAATATTAGGTTTTTAACATTGTGCTCTTTCATTACCTGGAGAGAAAAAAATAATATCTTTTTATATATATTTGTGATGTTAAAGTTTAGGCACAAATCAGAAAAGGAATGGTCGATCGATGACACTTCAGAGATAAAGAATATATTAAGCACAGCCAGTGCTGAAAATTCCTATTCTGTCTGAAAAAGTTATTTAAAAGAATGTACAAGAGGAAGGACAGTAATGAGGTGATAAAGTTGAGTAAGAATAACTTGTATTAAACTCAATGCATTTACTTTCAGCTCGGTGTTACCATAAGTGTAAAAATGAATGTTTTTGGTATTTGTCTAATTCTAACCAACACAATATTAGCAATAAAGATTGACATTTCCCTGTGCATTTTCGATTACTATACTTGTCCTTGTCTATTGTTAAGTGCATAAAGACTATGATATTTCCCTGAACCTTGTCTATAACTACGTGTCCTTGTCTATTGTTAAGTGCTTAAAGACTATGATATTTCCCTGAACCTTGTCTATTATTACGTGTCCTTGTCTATTGTTAAGTGCATAAAGACTGATATTTCCCTGAATCTTGTCTATTACTACTTGTCCTTGTCTATTACTAAGTGTCCTTGTCTATTACTACTTGTCTTTGTCTATTACAACGTGTTTATAGACTATGAGATTTCCCTGTACCTTGTCTATTACTATACGTGTCCTTGCCTATTACTAAGTGTATATAGATTAGTAGTATGAAATTTCCTTGTACCTTTTCTATTACGAGTCTACGTGTATATAGACTATGACATTTCATTGTACCTTGCCTAATTCTAACATAAATAAAAAAAAACTCTCAACAGAAAAGATCGATCTTGTTAAGACTTTATATTTCCCTGAACATTGCCTATGAATACGTGTATACTTACCTCTATCAAGTTTATAGTCCCACAAACATTTACTCGGTAGTACAGTAATGGTACATCACAAGATTCTCCTATAACCTTAAGTCCGGCCGTGTGTATCACACTTGTGAATTTATGCTGCAATGAAGTCGTATATAGCTCGTATAAAGTTATACACCCTGTGCGTATCTTAAAAAAGTAATACAGTTTTGAAAGTTTGTCTTAGCATATTTTATTATTAAATCTTAGAGCAGATTTGAAGGATGATATACATCATAGTATAGATGTAGTAAATCTTAAGGATGATGATGATTTAAAATTTCATAATATTCTCGAAGCATACTTCTATAAAAAAAAATTTATATGAAACACATATAAATCTATACCTTACTAAATAAATCGTGTAGAGCAGATTTATTCGTTAAATCTATACTGTAATTTGTTATTTTTGTTCCACATATTTCTCCTATTCTCATCATAGTTTCTGGAAAAAAAGGAAAGAAAACTTCAACTGTAATTCTAAGTCCATAAATTATCTCCCGTATTTGTACACGGAAAACTCAACATGTGGGTAAATATATATAGGAAAGGAGTAAAAAGACTACAACACTAAACATGTGGGTCAATATATATAGGAAATGAGTAAAGTGACTACAACACTAAACATGTGGGTCAATATATATAGGAAAGGAGTAAAGAGACTACAACACTAAACATGTAGGTCAATATATATATAGGAAAGGAGTAAAGAGACTACAACACTAAACATGTGGGTCAATAGATATATAGGAAAGGAGAAAAGAGACTACAACACTAAACATGTGGGTCAATATTTACAGGAAAGGAGTAAAGAGACTACAACACTAAACATGTGGGTCAATATATATAGGAAAGGAGTAAAGAGACTACAACACTAAACATGTGGGTCAATATATATAGGAAATGAGTAAAGTGACTACAACACTAAACATGTGGGTCAATATATATAGGAAAGGAGTAAAGAGACTACAACACTAAACATGTAGGTCAATATATATATAGGAAAGGAGTAAAGAGACTACAACACTAAACATGTGGGTCAATAGATATATAGGAAAGGAGAAAAGAGACTACAACACTAAACATGTGGGTCAATATTTACAGGAAAGGAGTAAAGAGACTACAACACTAAACATGTGGGTCAATATATATAGGAAAGGAGTAAAGAGACTACAACACTAAACATGTGGGTCAATATATATAGGGAAGGAGTAAAGAGACTACACTACACATGTGGGTCAATATATATATGAAAGGAGTAAAGAGACTACAACACTAAACATGTGGATCAATATATATATGAAAGGAGTAAAGAGACTACAACACTAAACATGTGGATCAATATATATATATGAAAGGAGTAAAGAGACTACAGAAATAAACATGTGGGTCAATATGTACAGGAAAGGAGTAAAGAGACTACAACACTAAACATGACAATTAGTAGTATTGTTTTCATAAAAAAGCCTTATTTATTTATAGTCCTTTTTTATAGAAGGGGGGATTAAGTACAGCAACTTTTTTTTCGCAAAGAGATAGTATATACTAACCATGATTAGCATTTACAAAATTGTCTACAACAACAACAGAATATCCGGCGTTGATTAGTTCTATTACAGAATGGCTGCCTACAAAGCCGGCTCCTCCTGTCACCAAAATACATTCACTTGACATTTCTGTAAAAAAATAATAAAACTTGCCAGGTAAAAGCTGCTTACAAACTTCTTCGGCCGCCATGACGATTTAGAGCATTACATATGTAGACACATGTATAATTTCTACGACCGTGTGTTGACCTAATATATTTTGGTTTTGTTGGGTTGTTGTCTCATTGAGGTATGACGTAGATCCCGCGTCGTCCTTTTATCATATCTGCTCTACTTTACTGTAAAATATGATAAACTCGTCCAAGTTACTGCGTATAGAGAAGGGTTGTACAATTACCACAACAAATATGGAAACGTAATTTGACATGGTTTTTAATTTTACCAGTTGTGTTGAAGAGTGTGTCTCACTTAAGTCAACGATCACTGATTAAGAGGTCACATTATTAAAGAATATGAAATTCATCATTTCCACGTATCTGTAACTGCTGCCACTGACAGCACATCAGGTCCGTATGGGTGGTGGATCATGTCAAAATTATGATGGTTCTATACGAATATACTTCACATCGAAATACTTTCAACCAGTATATATATATATATATATATAGATATACTTTTAAAAGTATCAGGATACTTCTAACTAACATCATGATTTCAATTTCAACCATCGGTACACTATCGGTATACTTTTTAAAGTATCCTGATAATTTGGCAAGCATTCGCATACTTTTTAACAAATAGTAGTATACTAAAATAAGCATCGAAATATTTATAACAAGTATCAGTTTACTTATAAAAATTCGTAAGGGTTCCGCGGAACCCAGTGTCTCGCCTACTTTTGATGTTAATCGCAGGCTCAACAAAAATGAGATGAGGAAAAAATTTAATAAAAATATTCCTCTCGATATAATGTTTTATTGTAAGGAGCTTCTGTCCAAGTTTGGTAAAATTCCAGGATAGTTTATGAATCTAATAAATGTTTTAAAAAATTTAACTGCAGACTGTATCTAATGTTAACTGGAAGAAAAACTAAGTCCATTTATAAGTAAAATATGGATAAACAAGTACAAAATTTTAATAAAAATTTCCTTCTAGATACTAGCATTTGATCATAAACAAACTTCTGTCCATGTTTGGTACAAATCCAGGATAGTTTAAGAAAGTTATCAAAATTTTTAAAACTTTAACCACAGAGTGAATGTAATGTTTCCTGGCAGAAAAACTAAGTCCATTTATAAGTAAAATACGGAAAAACAGGAACTTTTTTTTAATTTACTTCTGGATACTATCTTATGATCATAAACAAGCTTCTGTCCAAGTTTGGTAGAAATGCAGGATAGTTCCAAATGGTGAAGTTGAAATCATGCCATCGTAAATTTTACGGACGCCATCACGAGTTGGTTGACCGTTATGGAATAACCGTTTCACAGATGATATCGGATATGTTCCTTATGTCGTAACGACTATACCCTTCCCTTTTCACGAATGTGACTCACAGAATTAGACTATTTACCGGATTTGTAATAACATAAGCAACACGACGGGTGGAACATGTGGAGCAGGATCTGCTTACCCTTCCGGAGCACCTGAGATCACCCCAGTTTTTGGTGGGGTTCGTGTTGCTTAGTCTTTAGTTTTCTATGTTGTGTCATCTGTACTATTATTTGTCTGTTTGTCTTTTTATTTTTGGCCATGGCGTTGTCAGTTTGTTTTCGATCTATGAGTTTGACTGTCCCTCTGGTATCTTTCGTCCCTCTTTGAGAAAGTTATTAAAATTTTAAAAAAATTAACCAGAGTGAATGTAATGTTTCCTGGCAGAAAAACTAAGTCCATTTATAAGTAAAATACGGAAAAACAGGATTTTTTTTTTACAAAATTTACTTCTGGATATTATCTTATGATCATAAACAAGCTTCTGTCCAAGTTTGGTAGAAATCCAGGATAGTTTAAGAAAGTTATTAAAATTTCAAAAACTTTAACCACAGAGTGAATATTTGTGGACGCCGCCGCCGACAACGACGACGACGGAATGTAGGATCGCTATGTCTCGCTTTTTCGACAAAAGTCGAAGGCTCGACAAAAAGCATCGATATACTTATAACAAGTATCAGCATACTTATAAAAAGCATCGATATACTTATAACAAGTATCAGTATACTTATAAAAAGCATCGATATACTTATAACAAGTATCAGGATACTTATAAAAAGCATCGATATACTTATCACAAGTTTCGGCATACTTATAAAAAGCATCGATATACTTATAACAAGTATCAGTATACTTATAAAAAGCATCGATATACTTATAACAAGTATCAGCATACTTATAAAAAGCATCGATATACTTATAACAAGTATCAGCATACTTATAAAAAGCATCGATATACTTATAACAAGTATCAGCATACTTATAAAAAGCATCGATATACTTATAACAAGTATCAGCATACTTATAAAAAGCATCGATATACTTATAACAAGTATCAGTATACTTATAAAAAGCATCGATATACTTATAACAAGTATCAGTATACTTATAAAATTTTCCAAATTAGGTCCCTTGGGGGCATACACAAACAAATATAATCTTTACAACATACAGTATTTTTTACATGACATTCATGTAATACCCCTAAAATATTAGTATAGAGTGATACAGGCTAATATATGTTAAATAACAAAAAAAGGTATTTTAGGGTTGCTACTCCAGAGAAGTGGCAAATGTCCTCTCACTTGATGTTATTTGCAGTTATTTTTATTTTATTTCGTTTTAACTTTATTTATTTATTTTGCTTATATTTGCTGGAAATGTATATATATATATATTTGATTGTTTAGCTGCAACAGGTACCAATGGACGATGCTCTAGGATTGTGAGCTTAAGTGCTCTAACAAACCTCCGCGTATCTGATGCAGAGAAACAAACATAAATGTAACTAAAGTTTAAGTCTATTCACAGCAAATAACATATACTGCAGTAATAGGTTTTGAGAATAGTGCATGTTTCCCTACTGCAACAGACACCAAGGGGCAGTGCTCAAGGAGCTGTTTTATTCACTCAGTCCTTCTCGCGTCTGAAGCAGACAAGAAAGCCACACCATCAACAATTTTTAGAAATAAATTTTCAAGCAGCAGTGAGAATTGACTTATCTTCTGAGTTCATAAGCCATATCAGTTTATCCCTTGAGTTGAGACTTAGAAAATTGGGGCAACTTTTAGTTATTTCTTGATACATATGCTTTTTGTAAGTATATTGGAACTTGTTAAAAGTGTACATATGCTTTTAGTAAGTATACTGAAACTTGTTAAAAGTATACATATGCTTTTAGTAAGTATACTGAAACTTGTTAAAAGTATACATATGTTTTTAGTAAGTATATTGGAACTTGTTGAAAGTATACCGATGCCTATTAAATACGTATACTAATACTTATTGAAAGTATACTGATGCTTTTTAAAAGTATACTATTACTTGCTAAACGTATACCGATGTTTTTATAAACACACCGATGTTTTTATAAGCATACTGATACTTGTTGAAAGTATACATATCGGCTTTTTATAAGTACATGTGTATACTGATACTTGTTATAAGTCTACCAATGTTTCTTATACATATAATGATACTTGTTAAAGGTATACCAATGCTTATACATATAATAATACTTATTACAAGTATACTGCTACTTGTTAAAAGTATACCGATGCTTTTTATAAGTATACTGATACTTGTTATAAGTATATCGATGCTTTTTATAAGTATACTGATACTTGGTATAAGTATATCGATGCTTTTTATAAGTATGCTGATACTTGTTATAAGTATATCGATGCTTTTTATAAGTATGCTGATACTTGTTATAAGTATATCGATGCTTTTTATAAGTATACATATACTTGTTGAAAGTATATCGATGTAAAGTGTATCCCTATAGAACCATCCTTATTCTGACATGGTCCGCCACTCATAGGTCCGTGATGCAAAACTCGTAAACGACGAGTTGAGTCATGGTGAACAGGATAAAAAGAGGGTGTAGTCTTACAATTACTTAAAATCACGAATTTCTGAGCATTTTTAAATTCATTAAGTTGAAAAGATTAACAACTATAGTTTCAAGTCAATAAATGGTATATCAAAGCTAATGTGAATTGTTGGTTACGGTAGTTGGAAAGACATGGTTGACAAACCTGTAGAAAAACGTAAACATAGAAAAATTAAAAGGCTCAATCTTGGACTTTCAACAGGTGAAATAAAGAATTGAGAGACTCGAGAAACAGGTAATTCAGGGTTTTTTATTTTAAAAAATCAGATTATCATGCAAAGCTTAAAGATATTTTTGACAATAAATAGTTTGTATTTGGCTTCCCAAAACTTTGATTTCGACCGTGTTTAATTGTAATCACGGTATTTGGCATCCCAAACTTTGATTTCGATCATGTTTTATTGTAATCACGGTATTTGGCTTCCCAAACTTTGATTTCGATCATGTTTTATTGTAATCACGGTATTTGGCTTCCCAAACTTTGATTTCGATCACGATTAATTGTAAACTCGGTATTTGGCTTCCCAAACTTTGATTTCGATCACGTTTAATTGTAATCACGGTATTTTGGCTTCCCAAACTTTGATTTCGATCAATCCTGATGAAGGTTAGGTTGATTAAGGTTAATTATTCCAATAATAAACACGGATCGTTCACAATGAAAACGGGTATTATGATACAGTTTTAAGTCTTACATAAGTTTTACACAGAGTTCAGTCATGTGTTAATTAGTGTGAAGTGTTTATTTGTTTATCATGGGAATACATGTAGTATTTATAGCTGAGACTACTATAGAAGTCTCAGTATATAGTCAATCATATATACAAGTCTAAATTGAAAACAACGTTCAAACCTATGATTGCGTTGGATTTATGTCTCTGAATATAATGCCCTAGCTAGGTTAATATAACTACAACATGTTCATAACATTTCAATGACCTATTTCCTTTTATACTTCATTGTCATTCTTATTTGTATTCGGTAATTTTACTTTTATCCCCTTTTTATATTATGATCTTTTATCCGTTCTATTTGACCTGTTTCACACAAAATCAATTTTATTTATGACTTGTTTCAAACAAAATCAATGTTATTTGTAAACGTCGGGTGTTATATTGATCATATTGAGTTCTTATGATATCAGAACAGGTTTTCTCATTTTCATCCCGAGGGAAAAGCAATACAAACATTCCTCAAATCGATTTGACCAGACACATGCAGTTTTGATGCAGTTTCAATATAAACGTATGCCATCGCAGTTTATGATGTACGACAGGGACACTCGATGGCCTGAGGTAATTCCCTGTTGATGTGCAGTTTTACTGTGTGAAGATAATAAAAGTGGATACATTGTTATAAATATTGCGATTCAAAAGCAAAAATTGGGTTCTTACCTTTGAAATTTTGCAGTTTTGTTCTTCCCGGATATACACATCCCACATGTTAAATTTGCTTGGTCATTTTATTTTAAAACATGATTTATTTTTACCTAGAAGAACCAGTCTTGCGTAACTTTTCTGTATAAAGATAATTGAAGTTTGAGTTCAACATACAGAAGTTGACTACTTATAGGCTGTACGCTAACCTATAAACGTCATTTGGTCTCTACATTTACTTTACATTAGAAATATGTTTAAATGGTAGAAAAAGAGCAAACAAATGAAAGAAAAACAGTTTAGAATATTATTTCCGTAAAAAATTATATTCTGACAATAATTCGATTTCAGGACCTCATATAATCGGCACACATGCTTTATATCAGGGGGTCATTAAATATATTAGGATATCCTTAATATGGAGCTCCACAATTCGATTTCAGGATATCATGAAAACGAATAATGGAGGTCCTGAAATATTCAGAGCTAATTTACTAATGCTTGTAGAGTAAGATTTTGGTTGGCTTGCTTGCTTTGTTTGTATAAATGTTTGCTCAAGCATTGTAATCAAAATTGACATCTTCAAACAATATAAATAGGCAGCGTTAAACCTGTATACATTATATTTAGATTCCTAACGTCCAGGAAAACAATCAATCAAATTTAAGTATAATGTATAGCGGTTTAACTCCGCCTATGTATATTATTTGCAGATGTCAATCTTAATTACAATGCTTGAGCAAACATTTTTACAAACAAAGCAAGCAAGCCAACCAAAGTCTCAATCTATAAGCATTAGGAAATAAGCTCTAAAGATATCCTCAAATCGAATTATGAAGATCTTACATCTCAATGAGTTATTGATTACCATAAGGCGAATTATGGAGAACCTGAAATATTTCAAGAACTCCTGAATACAATAATTTTGACTAAATCCACGCCTCATACTATATATTAGTTTTGTCTTAATTTTTAACTGAAATATTATGAAATATTTGCCACTGGGCGTGAATCAAACACCAATCAATTAATTAATCAAGACATCTTTAGAGTATCACAACTTGTGTACACGGCAATCATATTTATACATGATCAAAATGAACTGTAAACAAACAAATGAAACATTATTGTTGTGTAGTTAGATATTGAAATCTGTATTCTCTCAAAATGTATGGCAAAAGAATCCATCTTGCAAAGTAGGTGGTGGTCATATGTTGTACTGTTACACCAAGGTTATAGTTGGTTTGGCGCCACATTCAATACGTGCCTGTCCCAAATCAAGAGTCTGTTTCTCACATTTGTTTTGTTTTTTTTGTTTAGTTTTTTTTTGTGTTGTGTCGTTGCACCACTGTCCCAGGTTAGAAGGGAGGGTTGGCGCCTTCAAACATGTTTAACCCTGTCTCATTCTGTATGTGCCTGTCCAAAGTCAGGAGCCTGTGGTTGTCGTTTGTTGTATATCATACTGTTTTTCGTTCACTGTTTATGTACATAAATCAGGCTGTTAACTTAGTTTTCTGGTTTGAATTGTTTTACCTTTGTCATTTCGGGGCCTGTTATAGCTTACTATGCGGTATTGGTTTTTCTCATGTTGAACTATAGTTGTTAACTTTTATGTAATTTGGTCTCTGGTGGAGAGTTGTCTAATTGGCAATCATACGACATCTGCTTATCTTTATAAGTAGTTGTAAGACTATCTCGTCTCTTGGGACAAGTGTCAGTAAAACAATACAGACTGGGTTGAAGAAAAAAGTTACTTTTAGTTTAGCATTTATAAGGGTCACCAATTTGACAGGAAAATTATACTGGGGTTTAACAGGTTTGTGAGCGCTCAGCCCTTTCCTAATCTTGGTCAGCACAACATATTACATAGACGTTATGATTTTACTGTAACTAGTTGTTACACCATATTACTGAATTTTTACGTAACCTTTACCCTTGTGGTGTTTTTAAACGAATTTAACTATAATGATAATTCTTTTGTTTTTATCGTTGATTTATATTATTGAGTTCCAGATTATTGTTATTTTGAAGCGTTCATGAATATATATTTTATAATCATATGTACATATTAATTGTAAATGATGTAAAACATGACTATGCCTTTTTGTAAAAAATAGTTTCCTTTAGTATTAGTATTATAACTTTTATTTGTATATACAGTGTCTCGTGAGTTTTTTAAGGCTGGGTATTGATCCTTTTTAGCTCACCTGGCCTAAATGGCCAATGAGCTTTTCTCATCATTTTGCGTCCGTCCTCCGTCGTCGTCGTCGTTAACTTTTACAAAAATCTTCTCCTCTGAAACTACTGGGCCAAATTTAACCAAACTTGGCCACAATCATCTCTGGGGTATCTAGTTTAAAAAATGTGTCCGATGACCTCGCTGGCCAACCAAGATGGCCGACATGGCTAAAAATAGAACATAGGGGTAAAATGCAAGTTTTGTCTATTATTTTGAAAACCGTTATAAATAGAGAAAATCTGAATGAGCAAACATGTTAAGATTGTTGAGCTCTACCAATTGTCCATATATGTCAAAACTGTCAGACGACTTCTAATAGGAGTTATTTCCCTTAAATGAAAAATTTTACCTTTTTTTAAATTTTTGCCCATTATCTTGAAAACTATAATAGATAGAGAGAAACTTTAAATTGAAAAAATAAACACCAAGACAAGTTCCACAAATAATTCTGCGTGGTCGAAATCGTCAGTCGACTCCTTATTAGAGTTATTGCCCTTTGATGACGATTTTTACCAATTTTTTGCGTTTTTGCCTTATATCTTAAAAATTATAATAGATAGATGGAAACTTTAATAAGCAAAAATGATCAGAGAGACAAGATCTACAATTAAGACAATATGGAGGAAATCGTCCAATGACTCCTTATTGTAGTTATTGCCCTTTAATGATGATTTTTACCATTTTTTTGCGTTTTGCCTTATACATGATAATAAAATGCTCCGCAGGGCGCAGCTTGATACGACCGCAGAGGTCGAACCCTGAACAGTTGGGGCAAGTATGGACACAACATTCAAGCTTGATACAGCTTTGCATTTGGATTGTGATTAAATATTTGACACAGCATAGGTTTCTGACACAGAATGAATGTGGTCTAAGAACTTAAAAATTTTAAATTGGACATTCACCTATTATGGTCCAATATCCAAAATCTAAATACATGGTTAGATTCAGCATATCAAAGAACCCCAAGAATTCATTTTTTGATGAAATCAAACAAAGTTTAATTTTGGACCCTTTTGACCTCAATGTGGACAAAGTTGATAACGGGGCCCAAAAATCAAAAATCTAAATACATGGTTAGATTCAGCATATCAAAGAACCCCTGTATATTCAATTTTTGTTGAAATCAAACAAAGTTTAATTTTGGACCCCGATTTGGACCAACTTGAAAACTGGGCCCATAATCAAAAATCTAAATACATGTTTAGATTCAGCATATCAAAGAACCCTAAGAATTCAATTTTTGTTAAAATCAAACTAAGTTTAATTTTGGACCCTTTGATCCTTAATGTAGACCAATTTGAAAACGGAACCAAAAAATTAAGAATCTAAATACACGGTTAGATTCGGCATATCAAAGAACCCCAATAATTCAATTTTTGATGAAATCAAACAAAGTTTAATTTTGGACCCTTTGGACCTCAATGTGGACCAATTTAAAAATGGGGCCCAAAATCCAAAAACTAAATACACGGTTAGATTCAGCATATTAAAGAACCCCAAGTATTCAAGAATAAAACCCCATTGAAATTGGTCAAGAAATAAGCAATTTATACGAAGTATCTTCTTTTGCACAATACTGTGCAATTAAATATTTCTTGCTATTGCGCAATACTGTACAATTGACAATTTCTGGCTATTGCGCAATATTGTGCTATTGGATATTTCTTGCTATTGCGCAATACTGTGCAATTGAAGATTTCTTGCTATTGCACAATACTGTGCAATTGAAGATTTCTTGCTATTGTGCAATACTGTGCAATTGAAAATTTCTTGGTATTGCACAATACTTATTATATAATAATTTACACATCCTGTTTGGTGTGTATCTCCTACCATATCATTATTATTTGCTTTTAAATATAAATCAGAAATAACCAACTTAAAATGGAAAATTTTAAAAGAAAAAAAAAGGAAAAAAAGAAAAAAAAGAAAAAAAAAAAAAAATCCCCCGCCCCAAATTTTTTGAACCCCCTTATGATTCATCACCCCCAAACTCAATCCCAGCCTTCCCTTTGTGGTATGGTACCTTGCAGTTCAATTTCAGAGAGATCCATACACTTGAACACAAGTTATTGTCTGGAAACTAGAAAAATGCTTATTTTTGGCCCCTTTTTTGGCCCCCAATTCCTTAACATTTCGGCAATTACCCCCAAACTCAATTCCAGCTTTCCCTTTGTGATATGGAACCTTGTAGTATAATTTCAGAAACATCCATACACTTACACACAAGTTATTGTCATGAAACTAGAAAAATGCTTGTTTTTTGCCCCTTTTTTTGCCCCTAATTCCTAAAATTTTGAGACAATTACCCCCAAAATCAATCCCAGCATTCCTTTTGTGATATGGAACCTTGTGGTACAATGTCAGAGATATCCATACACTAACACACAAGTTATGTCTGGAAGTTACAAAAATGCTTATTTTTGGCCCCTTTTTGGCCCCTAATTCCTTTACTGTTGGTACCATAACCCCCAAAATCAATCCCAACCTTCCTTTTGTGGTATTGAACCTTGTGGTAAAATTTCATAGAGATCCATTCACTTAAACTAAAGTTAGAGTGCGAAAACCAATGTGTCTTCGGACGACGCCGACGATGATGACGACGACGACGCCAACGTCATACCAATATACGACCACAAAAATTATTTTGCGGTCGTATAAAAATTGTAATAGATAAATAGACACTTTAAATCACAAAAATGATCAGCAAGGCAAGATCTACTAACAAGTCAAATTTTGCCAGTATAGTTAGTAGACTGTCATTCTTTATAGGAGTGATTGCCCTTAAATAAGGATTTTTATTTACACTCTTTTGTGTTTTGAGCAAAAACTTAAGAAAATACTTTAAATAGAGAGAAACTAAACAGGCTAAATGATCAGCAATACAAGATCAACAAAACAGAAATTTTTAACATGAATTCTATTCTCGTCTACAATGTTGGAGAGTGTCCTTTGTTGAAAATGCACATAGACCATGATGAGCGACACACGCTCTTTAGAGCCTCTAGTTTTTTATGATGTGTTTTGTAATTTTATTATAGATCAATATGTGACACTTAAATAAACTATTATTCATCTTATCTTATCTTAAGATAACAATGAACAACCTATCTATAACCTAAATTTTCAGATAATTTATGTATATTTACATATATAGTTATGGGAAGTATTGGAAACCAAGTTTCAGTGTATGTAGATTTAGTGGCAAACATGGCTATATCCTTGTTTGTGTGATGATGCATTAGGAAAGAGTTGGAAAAATAATTCAATCTTTCCAAAAATTGTAATTTATTCCTGCAACTATGACATTCATGTTTGGTGGATTCTGGGATCACAATCACTTCCCAAAAGTTTAGTGTAAAAATCAATAGATAGGGGATATATTGGGAACTATATTTTCATTGTATGTAGATTTAGTAGTGAACACAGCTACATCCTATTTTGTGAGGTGATGATGCCTTGAGAAAGAATTAGATCAAATGTTTGATTGTTAGTAGATTAACATTCAGTGGCAAATTAGTTGCTAACTTTCCAAAAACAGAAAATTTTGTATTTCTGGTGACTATGACATTCTTGTATGAGGGATGCTGGGATCACAATCACTTCCAACAGTTCTGTAAAGAAGGTCCTATATATATATATATTTTTTTACATCATATTGGGTCAAATATTCAAATATTAGTAATAATAGTTGCAATTAGAGCCATCAACGATTATTCTTTGGGGGTTATAAATGTAACAAATGTTGTATTGGCAATTTATAGAATTGTCTTGGATTTTTTGTCTTATTTTTTAAAATTTTTTATCAAATTGTCTTTTTGTAGAATATGTGGTTAAGAGTCAATAATAAGGTACTATAGGTGATTTTGAATAAACGATGTCAAAAAAGAAAAAAAATGAAATGAAAAACATTGGCTTAGTATTTTGACTCAAAAGGTCCTCATAATGAGTCATGTTTTAAACATGTCAATCAAGAGATATGTTATGAACAATCATATCTAATTTCATAATACTGCTTGAAAAAGATATTTGGGTCAAAATGTGTGGCCATTTTTTTACTTTTATCCGATGTTATTTTTTTTCAGCTTCTGGAAATTTTCATGAAATATTTTTAGATTTTTTTTTGTGTTACCGGCACACTAAACTTTGAAAAATTTGACTTCACAACCAATAAGACCATTATTCTTTAAAGAAGTTTCAAGGCTTCAAATTATATTATAGGGACATTAGCTACGATTTTGACAAATAATCAAAGTACGATTTTCTTTGCTTCAAACATTAATAAAAGCGGAATTGTGAAATAATATTAAGCTATTAGCAGTCATTTTGTTTTCATCAAAATAAGCTCAGAAAACATTGGTAATGTATTATTGACTTGCAAGTCAATAATTCAACTCATTTGAATATGTATTCACACTGAAGATGGGTTAATCATGTGTAGAGCCATGGGAAAGATCCATTTCCTTTGACTAAGTCTGCACACAAAAAATCATTCTTATTCAGGTAAAAAAGGTGATTTACATATTATTTCAATCAATGACATGAAATCAAACCATAAAAAAGTATACCACCACTCAGAATTTTGAAAACAGAAAGTGTTACAAATAATCAATGTTACGCCACTGACCAAATATGAAGTCATTCTGTTCAGTAGTACTTGAGAAAAGTGTGAAGAAAAATTTGAAGTTCATTTAACTTATTCGAAAATTCAAAGTATCTGCAAACAGGAAGTAGGTGTCCGACATGTCAGAAAGTGTTCACATCTTACAAGTCATGTCAAGTTGCTGATTAAATATGAAGTAATTCTGTTCAGTAGTACTTAGGGAAAGTGTGCTTGTTGGACAAACTGACAAACAAATAGATGGAAGGACTAACAGATGAACAAGGTGAATGCAATACAGCCCTCACTTCTAGTGAATAGTTAATTTACCTATGGTATAAGTATAAGATTTTGCCTATATTTAAATATTTGCAGTTACGTACAAATCTTTTAAACATCTGACCAAACTTTGATTCAAACAGGGATATGAAAAACAGTCGATTGGTAAAAGCAACTGGGAGGCATATTTTTTCATCAATTATCTGATCCAACTGGCAGAAAGATGAGACCAATTACTAATAAATACACATCTGACTTTAATTGCTTTAAAAAAAATATGTACAGGGAATAAACTGTTAAATGTAACAAAACAAGTACAAAATGTAACATTAAATTATTTTATCACTGGAACTATAGCAGTAATACATAATTTACATAAGACTAGGCTTATAAATAAATGTTTATTCTGTGACAATTCTTTAATATTAATTCAGAAGATTTTGCCAATTTTATAAAATTGTTTAGAGAGATGTGTCCCTCTCTGGTAGTAAACTGTTTACTGTAGACACTCACACATATTAATAAATTGCATCGCCGAGCGCAGCTGGATAAGACCGCAGAGGTCCAACCCTGAACAGTTGGGGCAAAAATGGACACAATATTCGTACTTGATACAGGTCTGAACTTGGATTGTAATTAAATATTTGATGCATAAAAGGTTTCTGACACAGAATAACTGTAGTCAAAGAACTTAGAATTGGTTATATGATTTGAATTTATATTCAATTTTTTGCTTTTGTGCAATACACTATGCTGTTGCGAATTGACCCCCCCCCCCCACTTTAAAAAAAAAAAATTTACCCCCCCTTTTTTTTGCTTTTGTGCAATACACTATGCTGTTGCGAATTGAAACCCCCCCCCCCCCCCATGAGAAAAAATTGTCCCCCCCCTCACAATTTCTTTTTTACCCTCCCCCCAATTTTTTTTTCACCTCCCTCCCTTTTTCAAATAAAAAAAAATCTTTTCCTCAAGATATGGTCATAATGTCAATTCAAATTTCCAATGGAGTTTGTTGCAACCATAATAACCCATTTAAATACATCATAAAAGTCTTAAAATAGAAAATGACATACATAATCATGGCTAAAATTAATATTCCTTAATCAGCATTTTTAAATAGTAACTTCTAAAAATAAATTGACAGCTAATCACCTCAAGACAATACAACATTTCTTAATACATATTTTAAAAGCAGTATAAGGGAGGTAATCCAAACATAACATTGTACTTTTTTTTAATTGTCCATTAACCAGGAAACCCTTGTTTTCCCCCTTTTTTGCCCCTAATTCCTAAATGGTTTGAGCCATAACCCCCCCAAAGCCAATCCTAACCATCCTTTGTGGTATGGAAACTTGTGATATAATTTCAGAGAGATCCATACACCGTTCCACAAGTTATTGTCTGGAAACTAGAAAAATGCTGATTGGGGCCCCTTTTTGGCCCCTTATTCCTAAACTGTTAGGACTATAACCCCCAAAATCAATCCCAACCTTCCTTTTGTGGATATAAACCTTGTGTTTAAATTTCATAGATTTCTATTCACATTTACTAAAGTTAATGTCCGGAAACCAATTGTCTTCGGACGACGCTGACGCAGTGATACCAATATACGACCGCAAAATTTTTTGCAGTCGTATAAAAATAACATACTGCCTCAAACTGTTCAATAAGCAAAATAATCTAAGCAATCCCCTGTTCCTCAAAATGGAAAAAAAAACATAGAATTTTTCTTCAATAAAAACAAATGTATCTGAAATACCTGATGTAATTTAATATTTTCTTTTAACAACATACCAAACATAAATGGAACATAGCAGAAAACATGATATATGAAACAAATCCAAAGCAGTAGTGTGTAACTAACAGAGACAGACTGAATACTATGAATATAAATACATGATAATTGATTATAGACCATGGATTCCTGGTCTATAACACATAAAAAGGATCTCTACAGTGCATCACATAATGAATTATTATAAGAAATTAAAATGTAGTCTTAAAAAATACCTCTACCAGGCAATGCAATACAAATTGGTAACTATTCAAGATAATAAATAATATTTACATGTCCTGTTTTACAAAAGAAAGAATTTACTGCTTTTTTTTCTCTCGGTTCTTGACAAATTGTTTTGATCTTAAGTTCAAAGATATAATACACTGCAGTTTTCATTCATCAGAAAAAAAAGAATGTGAAGTGAGCTTAAAGGCTACATAAAATTAAACTTAATTACACATGAAAAGTAAACTTAATTTAAAATAAATAAATTGCTTCGCCGAGCGCAGCTGGATACGACCGCAGAGGTCCAACCCTGAACAGTTGGGGCAAAAATGGACGCAATATTCGCACTTGATACAGGTCTGAATTTGGATTGTAATTAAATATTTGACGCATAAAAGATTTCTGACACAGAATAACTGTAGTCAAAGAACTTAGAATTGGTTATATGATTTGAATTTATATTCAATTTTTTGCTTTTGTGCAATACACTTTGCTGTTGCGAATTGACCCCCCCTCCCCCCACAAAAAAAATAAAAAATTTACCCTCCCCCTTTTTTTGCTTTTGTGCAATACACTATGCTGTTGCGTATTAACCCCCCCCCCCCCCCCCCCCCACTTTTAAAAAAAAAGAAAAATAATATTTAAAGAATAATTCTTTTTAATTTCTGAAATCTGAAATGAGAATAAATTGACCCCACACAATTTCTTTTTACCCCCCCCCCCCCCCCTTTCTCCCCAAAAAAAATTCTTTCCCTCAAGATATGGTCATAATCTCAATTCAAATTTCAAATGGAGTTTGCAACCATAATTACCAATTTAATTTTACCATAGTGCTAACTTAATCTATTTTATAATAAAATTTAAAATATGGTGTCAAATCTTTCATATGGATTTTTTTGTAAAAATAAAAATGCAACATTTGCAGATATTTTTACTGGTCTTCCTTTATAAATATGCATTTCTTTAAACATAATTTAAAAGCAGTGTAAGGGAGGTAATCAAAACATTGTATTTGGATTACCTCCCTTACACTGCTTTTAAATTGTCTTAATTGTTCATTAACCATTACTTTATACATAATTTAAAAGCAGAGTAAGGGAGATAATTCAAATGCATTTGAATTACCTCCCTTACACTGCTTTAAATTATGTTTTGTACTAAAGTATTTGTCCATTAACCAGGACACCCTTGTTTTTTCCCCTTTTTTGCCCCTAACTCCTAAACGGTTTGAGCCATAACCCCCCCAAAGCAAATCCTAACCATCTCTTTGTGGTATGGAAACTTGTGGTATAATTTCAGAGAGATCCATACACCGTTCCACAAGTTATTGTCTGGAAACTAGAAAAATGCTTATTTTTGGCCCCTAATTCCTTAACTGTTGGTACCATAACCCCCAAAATCAATCCCAACCTTCCTTTTGTGGTATTGAACCTTATGGTAAAATTTCATAGAGATCCGTTCACTCAAACTAAAGTTATTGTGCGAAAACCAATGTGTCTTCGGACGCACCGCCGCCGACAACGACACAACGTCATACCAATATACGACCGCAAACATTTTTTGCGGTCATATAAAAATGTTTTAAAGTGAACCTAAAAATACATGAAATACATAAAATAGATTTGTATGTGTAAACAGATCCATGTCTGTTTTGGATGAATTTGGGTGAAACTTGCATTAAAAATTTCACATTATTTTTCCATAAAACTATTTATATATGAGTGAAAATTGATTGCACTGTGACTGTGATCCAATTATAATAATCATCAATTATTATTATTATCAATATTAAAAACTTTTATTTTATTTGTTGGAAATTTTTTCATCAAAATCATTCAAGTATCATCTTCAGGAAAAAATTTATAAACTACAATGAATCTAAGTTAATTATTAACTTTAATTTAATGTGAATCTGATAATGGAATACCAAGCGGCTAATATGTTTATATAATGTATACAACAGTGATTTTACCATCTATACAGATACCAATAAGTTTACAAAATTAAATTCAAGAGATTTATAAGAAAACAAAATATTACAATAAATGAAAGCATCACTGATCCTGATTTTCATAGTAATACTCCCTAACCATATTATACTGCAACCATTCAGGACTTTCATCATAAAAAAAAAATAATTGGCCTTTAATTATAAAAAGGATTATATGTAACCCAGTGTGCAGATTGTTGATTTTTTGCTTTTTTTGATGATGTAAATATAGATTTGTATACTGCTGTTGCAGTGGAGTCTTTCTGAATACTTTCTGCTTTGTCTCCTTGTTTTCCATTGGTCATCTTCAATTTGGAATCCGATATTTTATTGGGCAGTTTGATTTTCTTATCTGAAAATCCATTGGTCAATTTTCCATTTGTAATTCCACTGGATGACGCACTTGAAGATGCTGTCTCCACTTTGGGTTGTTTACTTGAAGACTCACCATTTATTTCTGAAATAAAGCACAATAAACAAATTAGAATATGATGTTTAGAATTAACAGCTTATTTATAATAACCCTTTAATATAGCAGTAGTCAAGGCTAGCAACATCACAGGACAAGGTCAAGCTCATTAATTGCAGAAGCTTGAATTAATATACATTTATTGTTTAATTGAATATATCAAATAATGGGATATTTTTTATGACATTAAGGCTGGAGTCTGCAGTAATAAATTTTATTTTCTACATTTTAGCTCCTGTTAAAATGTTCATAATTGTTCTTAGATAAGATTTTCCGGGTTACAATGAATACTTATATTTCACCTCAATTTAGTATACATCAGAAATTGAAGTTTATATAGGAAATGAGAAGTTTTTTCTTAATACAAGTCTCAACTAAGCCTTCATTGTACAGAGATATAAACTAGATTTATTAATAGTTCACCACTGACTGCTGCCAGCAGTTATAGAAGGAACATAAAATAATTAAAATTGGATTTTACACTTTTCTTTTAGAACGGTAGACAATTGGGTTGACTAGTATACCATAAAAAATCTAGAAAGTATTACTTATATTTTCTAGCACTAATAAATATAAAAATAAAATGCTCCGCAGGGCGCAGCTTGATACGACCGCAGAGGTCGAACCCTGAACAGTTGGGGCAAGTATGGACACAACATTCAAGCTTGATACAGCTCTGAATTTGGATTGTGATTAAATATTTGACACAGCATAGGTTTCTGACACAGAATGAATGTGGTCCAAGAACTTAAAAATTTAAAATTGGACATTCACCTATTATGGTCCAATATCCAAAATCTAAATGCATGGTTAGATTCAGCATATCAAAGAACCCCAAGAATTCAATTTTTGATGAAATCAAACAAAGTTTAATTTTGGACCCTTTTGACCTCAATGTGGACAAAGTTGATAATGGGGCCCAAAAATCAAAAATCTAAATACATGGTTAGATTCAGCATATCAAAGAACCCCATATATTCAATTTTTGTTGAAATCAAACAAAGTTTAATTTTGGACCCCGATTTGGACCAACTTGAAAACTGGGCCCATAATCAAAAATCTAAATACATGTTTAGATTCAGCATATCAAAGAACCCTAAGAATTCAATTTTTGTTAAAATCAAACTAAGTTTAATTTTGGACCCTTTGGACCTTAATGTAGACCAATTTGAAAACGGAACCAAAAATTAAGAATCTATATACACGGTTAGATTCGGCATATCAAAGAACCCCAATAATTCAATTTTTGATGAAATCAAACAAAGTTTAATTTTGGACCCTTTGGACCTAAATGTGGACCAATTTAAAAAGGAGGCCCAAAATCCAAAAACTTAATACACGGTTAGATTCAGCATATTAAAGAACCCCAAGAATTCAAGAATAAAACCCCATTGAAATTGGTCAAGAAATAAGCAATTTATACGAAGTATCTTCTTTTGCACAATACTGTGCAATTGAATATTTCTTGCTATTGCGCAATACTGTACAATTGACAATTTCTTGCTATTGCGCAATATTGTGCTATTGGATATTTCTTGCTATTGCACAATACTGTGCAATTGAAGATTTCTTGCTATTGCGCAATACTATGCAATTGAAGATTTCTTGCTATTGTGCAATACTGTGCAATTGAAAATTTCTTGCTATTGCACAATACTTATTATATAATAATTTACACATCCTGTTTGGTGTGTATCTCCTACCATATCATTATTATTTGCGTTTAAATATAAAACAGAAATAACCAACTTAAAATGGAAAATTTTAAAAGAAAAAAAAAAGGAAAAAAAGAAAAAAAAATGAAGAAAAAAAAATCCCCCCCCCAAATTTTTTGAACCCCCTTATGATTCATCACCCCAAACTCAATCCCAGCCTTCCCTTTGTGGTATGGTACCTTGCAGTACAATTTCAGAGAGATCCATACACTTGAACACAAGTTATTGTCTGGAAACTAGAAAAATGCTTATTTTTGGCCCCTTTTTGGCCCCTTATTCCTAAACGTTTTGGGCAATTACCCCCAAACTCAATTCCAGCTTTCCCTTTGTGATATGGAACCTTGTAGTACAATTTCAGAAAGATCCATACACTTACACACAAGTTATTATCATGAAACTAGAAAAATGCTTGTTTTTTGCCCCTTTTTTGGCCCCTAATTCCTAATATTTTGAGGCAATTACCCCCAAAATCAATCCCAGCATTCCCTGTGTGATATGGAACCTTGTGGTATAATTTCAGAGAGATCCATACACTTGAACACAAGTTATTGTCTGGAAACTAGAAAAATGCTTATTTGTGGCCCCTTTTTGGCCCCTTATTCCTAAACGTTTAGGGCAATTACCCCCAAACTCAATTCTAGCTTTCCCTTTGTGATATGGAACCTTGTAGTACAATTTCAGAAAGATCCATACACTTACACACAAGTTATTGTCATGAAACTAGAAAAATGCTTGTTTTTTGCCCCTTTTTGGCCCCTAATTCCTAATATTTTGAGGCAATTAACCCCAAAATCAATCCTGGCATTCCCTGTGTGATATGGAACCTTGTGGTACAATGTCAGAGAGATCCATACACTAACACACAAGTTATGTCTGGAAGTTACAAAAATGCTTATTTTTGGCCCCTAATTCCTTAACTGTTGGTACCATAACCCCCAAAATCAATCCCAACCTTCCTTTTGTGGTATTGAACCTTATGGTAAAATTTCATAGAGATCCATTCACTTAAACTAAAGTTAGAGTGCGAAAACCAATGTGTCTTCGGACGACGATGACGACGCCAACGTCATACCAATATACGACCGCAAAAATTTTTTGCAGTCGTATAAAAATCAGTTAAATAAATTTTATTTTACCTGTTGTTTGTGATTCATCTGAAACTTTGTGCTTCTGTGCTTTCTTTGATTTCTACAAGTAATTAAGATTAACTTCAGTATCATGTGATCACAAAACTTTTAATGTTTAGTCATATAGAACTTTCAAGTGTAATGATATATATATATATAAGAATAAAAATAAGGAGATGAGGTATGATTGCCAATGAGACAACTATTCACCAAAGTTCAAATAAAGTGGATGTAACCAATTATAGGCAACCGTACGGCCTTCAACAATGAGAAAAACCCATACCATATAGACAGCTATAAAAGGCCCCGACATGAAAAATATAAAACAATTCAATTGAGAAAACTAATGGCCTAATTTATAACAAAACGATTTATGAAAAACAAATATGACAGACATATACCAACGACAAACCACTGAACTACAGTCTGTTTGTGAGTGCTCAACCCTCCCTGTAACCTGGGACAGTGGTGTAACAGCACAACATAAGAACAAACTATAAGTAGAAAAAGACTTAACTCATCAGATCGATACAAAGCAGAAAAACATCAAACATAAACACAGACCAGACATGGAAGGGTATTTATCCATCCCTCATCCCTAACAACAAAAAGGACACTATGTACAGATCTGAGAGTACTCACAGTTACTGACAGCTAGTTCAAAGCCAATAAAAGAATAAAAGAGTTCCAATGTCCCCCGCATTGCACATATTTTATCTATCCAGGGGCAATAACTAAAAAAAAACAAACTTTTTTTTGTTGTTCTTTAAAACAATTTATAAATAAAAAGCGTGTGCGGGGGACAAAAAAGTTGTTTTTATTGTATACTAAATATTTCAAACAGACCTTCAAGGGCATTACTTATAGTATACTGTGGATTCATTTATTTTCGTGGGTATCAATTTTCGTGGATAGAGAAAAAAAGAAGTTTCGTGGTATACGTAAATTCGTGGATCGCTGATTACAAAAAAAAATAAATTGAAATACGTAATTCATGGATTTCTTTTTGATTTTGGAGATCATATAACCTCCTTGGTTTGATCAATAATAAAACAAACAAAAAAGAAGGAATTCATTGAAAAAGTTTTGAATTTTCAAAATCCTCGCTTGGTCATTCTAGGTTAAAGTGTTCATTGAAAACTTCTATTACCTGATTACAATAATGGACAGAGACAACTAATTATTTGTTTGTTTTACAATTTATAAATTCTTGTCGGAATTTTATAAGGCATTCAAAACTCATTTCCCTAATCACGATATAATAAACAGTCATATAAGTAAAAGGTGTGAAAATAAATGTTCCTATCATAAACAATATTACCTACGGGCAATATCCCTGTACTTAATCCTATTGATTTTTATAATTAATCACCAGTAAACCAAACTATGACACGGTAATTAACAACTTGCAGTTATTTTCCATGAACAGTTTTAATCAATTTTAAAAAGTAAATTATCACTGATATTCGATATATTTATTATTGATTTAATCAAAATACTTGTATCTTCTTTCAATAAAAACATGTGTTATGTTACAATGTTTATCACTAGTCAACACTATACTAGAACTGCATAACATAACCGGAAATAAACATCCGACTCCATACACATTTCTCGGGATTATTCTTCGTTGAATTCTTAAATTCGTGGTTCGCTGTGACCCACAAAACCCACGAAAATTGGTATACCACGAATAAAAATGAATCCACAGTACTATAAGTTTAATAAAAAATTGTACCCGTGAGAGCAATAACGAGGCCATTTTCCATAAATTTAATATTTCCAGGGTCATAACTCTTTAAAAAAAAGAACAGAGTTCCAATGTCCCCCTTGTTGCACTTATTTAATATTTCCAAGGGGCATAACTCTTTTAAAAAAAAGTCAATCGTCCACCATTATAGAACTTGTCCGAGATATTGCTGATATTGACCTATAGTATAAGTTTTATAAAAATATGGTAAGAATTGTACCTGACGGCCGGATGCCCGGTATTTCCATGTCCCCCGCAACGCATTACGCATGGGACAAAAAAAGTTGATCTTCCACCATTACAGAACTTGTCCGAGATATTGCTGATATTAACCTATAGTATAAGTTTTTTTATAAAAATCAGGCAAGAATTGTACCTGTGAGAGCACTAACAAGGTCATTTTCCATTAATTTAATATTTCCACAGGTCATATCTCTTTTAAATAAATGTGGATTGTGTCCACACTCCACACGTGGACACAGATGATGCCCCCCTTGCATATTATATAGTTATAAAGGGACATAACTGAAGAACGGTAAAAGTGACGCTACCAAAATTAGAACTTGATCTGAGTTTTATGGTAATAAGCATTGTGTGTAAGACTCATAATATTTGGTTGAGGCAAACTTAAGTTAGAGAACGGAAACTAAAAATTATGCAATTTTTCCATTTATTAAGGGGCATTACTCTAAAATGGTTTGAGTGACGCCACCAAAATTCAAACTTGATCTGTATTTTGTGGTAATAAGCATTGTGTATAAGTTTCACAAAATTTGGTTGAGGCAAACTTAAGTTAGAGAACGGAAACTAAAAATTTAGCAATTTTTCCATCATAAAGGGCATAACCCTAGAACCATTTTAGTGACGACACCAAAAATTAAACTTGATCTGTGTTTTGTGGTAATTAGCATTGTGTATAAGTTTCATAACATTTGGTTGAGGCAAACTTAAGTTAGAAAACGGAAACTAAATATTTTGCAATTTTTCCATTTATAAAGGTGGCATAACTCTAGAATTGTTAGAGTGACGCTACCAAAATTCAAACTTGATCTGTATTTAGTGGTAATAAGCATTGTGTATAAGTTTCATAGCATTTGATTGAGGCAAACTATAGTTAGAGAACTGAAACGAAAAATTCAGCAATTTTTCCATTTATAAAGGGGCATAACTCTAGAACGGTTAAAGTGACACCAACAAAATTCAAACTTGATCTGTGTTTTGTGGTAATAAGCATTGTGTATAAGTTTCCTAACATTCGGTTGAGGCAAACTCAAGTTAGAGAACAGAAACCAATTTTGGGACGTACGTACAGAGGAACAAGGGTAAAACTTAATGCCCCCTCCGTTATGGCAGGGGCATAAAAAAGTTGATCGTCCACCATTATAAAACTTGTCCGAGATATTGCTGATATTAACCTATACTATAAGTTTTTTATAAAAATCTGGCAAGAATTGAACCTGTGAGAGCGCTAACCAGGCCATTTTCCATTGGGAAACAAGGACATTCAGACAATGAATGACATAAAATTATTACTTCATACTTTTGATATGATTCCTTTAACTGACAGAAGATGTAGTTCGTACTGATTTAGCTCTGTCAACTGACCGAACTTTATGCTTTTTAATATGATCAAGTGTTGTATCTTATACATATTTATTAATATAATTTTAATCATTTAAATGTTTTTGCCTGAGAATTGCTACCTTATTTCATGAGAGCTTCATTGTGGCTAATAAATAACAAATACCTTAGCAAGCTTGGCTAGTTCTCGTCTTTTCTCCATGTTTGTCCTTAACTCGTCAACATCTGTTTCCGTACCATTCAGAACAACCATATCATCTGTGGAATATGGCTTACCACACTACAAGGCAAAGATAATCATTTTCTTAAGGATGTGTTTTCAATTCATAAAACAGATGACAATGGGTGTATTTTTTTCAAACACGTTTGTAGTCGTTTCTTTTAAATTCTTTTTGTTCTACATTGCTTGAATAATAAAGACATCAAAAATAATTTTATAATTGTATATGGTACCACAGAGTTCCTCATGCAAGCAACAATTAAAATGAAACAGACAAAAATAATTTGGAATTACAGAATGTAGTTGTAGTGAGAGGCATGACACTAATATTGGAAATTAATTTTTATTTATTGCAAGTACCTAAACTTACAAAGTTTAAGTGGACCATACATTTAATGACTGTACATTAGGAGGCTATCTGTCAGCAAATTATCATGTAAATTATACTAAATACATTAAGTTTTGCAAAAATAACAAGCATTCTGTGAGTATTGCATGGCAATACATAGTCCCCTACCGGTTATAATTCATTGTATTGAAACAAAATTCTAACTTGATTTATAACTTGTCATGGTGTAAACTATATAACAAATATCAAGTCAATATCTTCAAGCATGACGAAAAAAAGTGCGGAAAACTGATTATTTGAGTGAACTTTCTAAGTCCAAGGACCATAATCATCAGACCGGAACAAAATTCGAACTTGATCTGTAACTTGTCATGATAAAACAATACACAAAATATCAAATCAATATCTTCAAGCATGAAGAATAAAAGTGTGGAAACTGATTTGCCGGACTGACAGACAGACAGACAGACGGACGGAGTGCAAACCTAAAGTCCCCTTTCGACTTCGTCGGTAGGGGACTAATAAAAGGACAACAGTTCCAAAGTCCTCTGTCTCTGTAGCACATATTTTTTCTGCCAAAAGGCAATAACTTAAAAAAAAAAAACACTTCTTTTTTTACTTATTAAAAAATATCTTACAAGAAAGGTAGACATAAAATTTGTTCCATTAGTATAACTAAGATATCAAAATCTTAATGCTTTTTGTTTGTTTTTTTCTGGACTTTAAAGAAATTTATAATAGGGAGACAATAACCTCCCTTCACATTCAGAATTAAAGGTAAAAAAAATGTAGGTATTGACAAAAATTCTTATAATGAACAATCTGTTTAAGGTAGATGGGGTGTCTAAATTATAATCCATAGAATTTTTTAATAATTTGCCAAAATGTACTTAATATCAGGCTTTTTTTTTTAAAAATAATAAAAAGAATGGGTCACGGGGCTTATTTTCACGCTACAGGTTGTACAAAATTGACAGATTTTGTATAGATTATGCATGGAAAACCCAATTTTCTGCCATAAAACGAAAACTAAACCATAGAATTTTGAGATAAAATATGAGAAGATAGCTCTATTTTTATGCTTTCAGATAAGTAAAAGAAAAAATGGGGTCACGGGACCTGTTTTCTTGCTACATAATAAAATAGGTAAATTCCTAACACATTCTATTGTAAAAGTAACTTTATCTGAATCATCTGCCCTTACATTTGAGCTGCCTCCCCTTATGTGGCAAAGTTGGAAAAAATTGAATCAAACAAAAAAAGTATTCTGTTTTTATATGCCCGTTTACGGTACGTATTATGGTATACCGTTGTCTGTCCATCGTCAACATGTCGGACATAAATTCAAAAACGCTTTAACCAATATGCATGAAACTTTAGTAAATTGTTTACAAATTTGGGATTTACCGTTTCCGAGTTTTGGGGTTTTATTCATTAAAGAAGGGGGGATTTTCCAGTTTTCGGACAATAACTCGAAAACAATTTCACCAATTTGCATGAAACTTTTGTGAATTGTTTATATTTATTGACATGAGCTCCCTTTCGTTTTTTATAAATTTCAGATTTACCGTTTCCGAGTTTTGGGGTTTTATTCATTAAAAAAGAGGGGATTTTCCAGTTTTCAGACAATAACTCAAAAACAATTTCACCAATTTGCAAGAAACTTTGGTGAATTGTTTATTTCTATCAACATGAGCTCCCTTTTGATTTTTATAAATTTTAGACTATACGTTTCTGATATATTGGGTTTTTTTTCATTACAAAAAGGGGGATTTTCCAGTTTTCGGACAATAACTCAAAAATGCCGAAAGCATTTTTTATGAAACTTTGGTAAATTGTTTATATCTATTGATGTAAGCTCCCTTTTGATTTTTTTAAATTTTCGATTTTACGTTTCCGAGTTGTTTATAGTCTGACAACAGATTTACTAAGTATTGCTTAACAGCACTGTATTGCACAACAACACAGTGTATTGTACAACAGCAAGAAATCTTTAATTGAATATAAATTTAATTCATATAACCAATTTCAAGTTCTTTGACTACATTTATTCAGAAACCTATAATATGTCAAATATTTAATTACAATCCAAATTCAGACCTGTATCAAGCTTGAATATTGTGTCCATTTTTGCCCCAACTGTTCAGGGTTGGACCTCTGCTGGCATATCCAGCTGTGCTCAGCGAAGCAGTTTATTTGTAAAATACAACCATAAATATGATAAAACATGTCATTTTCTATATTGAAATGAAAATTCTTACACATGAATTAACTACTATTCTCAAAATTTGCACATTTTCTTAAAAATCTAGACCGATTGTTTTCTGGTATTTCAAAATCCAAGATGGAGGAAGACACCCTATCTACCTTAAACCTGAAATCTTTATATTTTTTCTTTTGGATGATAGAAATGATTTAAGAACTGACAAGAGAGAAATGAATAATATATTATACCTTGTGGCATATTTCAGATTTTATTTCTTTCAGAGCTCGTTCAGACATTACACATCCACAACTCCATACAAAACAAAATCTGTAAAAATGAAAAAAAGTAATTCAAGGAAATCATTTTTTCCAACAAACAGATTAAAGAATACAAATTACACAATTCAGTGATAGACAAATTTGGTTTTTCACTTTGTACTATGTATTGTCTTCCAAATGAAAGGTATTTCCATATCAAAATAGTAACCAAATCTTAAAACACTGTAAAGCAAGTTATCTCATTAAAAGTTTACATGAACCTTAAAAAAAAAGTACGGCAAGAAAAGCTCTCAAAATAATACCCCAATCCCATATTAAGCGATGGAAAGGTCAATGATTTTCTTAGGAAAACCCCAAAAATAATTCAGGCCAATAAACAAAATAAGAGATGCAAAATGGCCTTATAAGGTTAAGATACTGAGAAAGTTAACATTATCAATGATCCATGTAAAAGAGGTCAGGGTCAGATGAACATTCCAGACAGACATGTATTCCTTACAATCTATAAACAAAATATAGTAAACCTATTGTTTATAGTGTCTGAGAAAGAAACTAAACCACAATAAAATGCTCCGCAGGGCGCAGCTTGATACGACCGCAGAGGTCGAACCCTGAACAGTTGGGGGAAGTATGGACACAACATTCAAGCTTGATACAGCTTTGGATTTGGATTGTGATTAAATATTTGACACAGCATAGGTTTCTAACACAGATTGAATGTGGTCTAAGAACTTAAAAATTTTAAATTGGACATTCACCTATTATGGTCCAATATCCAAAATCTAAATACATGGTTAGATTCAGCATATCAAAGAACCCCAAGAATTCAATTTTTGATGAAATCAAACAAAGTTTAATTTCGGATCCTTTTGACCTCAATGTGGACAAAGTTGATAACGGGGCCCAAAAATCAAAAATCTAAATACATGGTTAGATTCAGCATATCAAAGAACCCCATATATTCAATTTTTGTTGAAATCAAACAAAGTTTAATTTTGGACCCCGATTTGGACCAACTTGAAAACTGGGCCCATAATCAAAAATCTAAATACATGTTTAGATTCAGCATATCAAAGAACCCTAAGAATTCAATTTTTGTTAAAATCAAACTAAGTTTAATTTTGGACCCTTTGGACCTTAATGTAGACCAATTTGAAAATGGAACCAAAAATTAAGAATCTAAATACACGGTTAGATTCGGCATATCAAAGAACCCCAATAATTCAATTTTTGATGAAATCAAACAAAGTTTAATTTTGGACCCTTTTGACCTCAATGTGGACAAAGTTGATAACGGGGCCCAAAAATCAAAAATCTAAATACATGGTTAGATTCAGCATATCAAAGAACCCCATATATTCAATTTTTGTTGAAATCAAACAAAGTTTAATTTTGGACCCCGATTTGGACCAACTTGAAAACTGGGCCCATAATCAAAAATCTAAATACATGTTTAGATTCAGCATATCAAAGAACCCTAAGAATTCAATTTTTGTTAAAATCAAACTAAGTTTAATTTTGGACCCTTTGGACCTTAATGTAGACCAATTTGAAAACGGAACCAAAATTTAAGAATCTAAATACACAGTTAGATTCAGGCTATCAAAGAACCCCAATAATTCAATTTTTGATGAAATCAAACAAAGTTTAATTTTGGACCCTTTGGACCTCAATGTGGACCAATTTAAAAACGGGGCCCAAAATCCAAAAACTAAATACACGGTTATATTCAGCATATTAAAGAACCCCATGAAATCATGGTCAAGAAATAAGCAATTTATAGGAAGTATCTTCTTTTGCACAATCCTGTGCTATTAAATATTTCTTGCTATTGCGCAATACTGTACAATTGAAAATTTCTTGCTATTGCGCAATATTGTGCTATTGGATATTTCTTGCTATTGCGCAATACTGTGCAATTGAAGATTTCTTGCTATTGCGCAATACTGTGCAATTGAAGATTTCTTGCTATTGTGCAATACTGTGCAATTGAAAATTTCTTGCTATTGCACAATACTTATTATATAATAATTTACACATCCTGTTTGGTGTGTATCTCCTACCATATCATTATTATTTGATTTTAAATATAAATCAGAAATAACCAACTTAAAATGGAAAATTTTAAAAGAAACAAAAAAGGAAAAAAAGAAAAAAAAGGAAAAAAAAATAAATCCCCCCCCAAAATTTTTTGAACCCCCATTATGATTCATCACCCCCAAACTCAATCCCAGCCTTCCCTTTGTGGTATGGTACCTTGCAGTACAATTTCAGAGAGATCCATACACTTGAACACAAGTTATTGTCTGGAAACTAGAAAAAAATGTGTTTTTTGGCCCCTTTTTGGCCCCAAATTCCTAAACGTTTAGGGCAATTACCCCCAAACTCAAACCCAGCTTTCCCTTTGTGATATGGAACCTTGTAGTACAATTTCAGAAAGATCCATACACTTACACACAAGTTATTGTCATGAAACTAGAAAAATGCTTGTTTTTTGCCCCTTTTTTGGCCCCTAATTCCTAAAATTTGGAGGCAATTACCCCCAAAATCAATCCCAGCATTCCTTTAGTGATATGGAACCTTGTGGTACAATGTCAGAGAGATCCATACACTAACACACAAGTTATGTCTGGAAGTTACAAACATGCTTATTTTTGGCCCCTTTTTGGCCCCTAATTCCTTTACTGTTATTACCATAACCCCCAAAATCAATCCCAACCTTCCTTTTGTGGTATTGAACCTTGTGGTAAAATTTCATAAAGATCCATTCACTTAAACTAAAGTTAGAGTGCGAAAACCAATGTGTCTTCGGACGACGCCGGACGACAACGACGACGACGACGCCAACGTCATACCAATATACGACCACAAAAATTTTTTTGTGGTCGTATAAAAACTTTACACTGACAAATGAACTATGAAAATAAGGTAAAGGTCAGATGAAACCATGGAGACAGACATGTACACCTTGCAATCATTCTTTACACAAAATATAGTTGACCTACAGCTTATAGTATCTGAGAAATGAACCTAACCATGAAAACTTAATCTTGATCTGACACTGATCCATGAAATGAGGTCAAGGTCAGGTGAACCTATCTGACAGACATATATACGTAGACCTTGAAGGGATTGCATATGCCACAGTTATCCCATTACTCATAATAAGTGAACAAGAGTGCACACGCTGAAATGTCTCGCCTTCTTTACTAACCATTGATATTATGTTGATAGTCCTAAATATAAAGCTTTACTACAACTATCACATAAACTTAACATGATCCAAGAAAATGAGGTCAAGGTCATATAAACCGAAGGAGAAATACATGTACACCTTACAATCATTCAATACACTAAATATAGTTGACCTATTGCTTATAGTTTCTATGAAACAGACTTAACCAAGACAAAGTTCAGCAGGAAAACTTAACATTAACTAATGAGCCATGTTAATCAGGTCAAGGTCATATGATATCTGGCAGACAGACATAAACACCTCATAAACATTCCATACATCAAATATAGTTCAATTATCAAAAACAGTATAAGAATAATAAAATGCTTCGCTGGGGCGCAGCTTGATACGACCACAGAGGTCGAACCCTGAACAGTTGGGGCAAGTATGGACACAACATTCAAGCTTGATACAGCTCTGAATTTGGATTGTTATTAAATATTTGACACAGCATAGGTTTCTGACACAGAAAGAATGTGGTCTAAGAACTTGAATTTTTTTAATTTACCTATTATGGTCCAATGTCCAAAATCAAAATACATGGTTAGATTCAGCATATCAAAGAACCCCATATATTCAATTTTTGTTAAAATCAAACAAAGTTTAATTTTGGACCCCAACTTGGACCAACTTGAAAACTGGGCCCATAATCAAAAATCTAAACACATGTTTAGATTCAGCATATCAAAGAACCCCAAGAATTCAATTTTTGCTAAAATCAAACTAAGTTTAATTTTGGACCCTTTGGACCTTAATGTAGACCAATTTAAAAACGGGACTTAAAATTAAAAATCTAAATACACGGTTAGATTTGGAATATCAAAGAACCCCAATAATTCAATTTTTGATGAAATCAAACAAAGTTTAATTTTGGACCCTTTTGACCTCAATATGAACCAATTTGATAGCGGGGCCCACAAATAAAAAATCTAAATTCATGGTTAGATTCAGCATATCAAAGAACCCCATATATTCAATTTTTGTTGAAATCAAAAAAAGTTTAATTTTGGACCCCAACTTGGACCAACTTGAAAACTGGGCCCATAATCAAAAATCTAAACACATGTTTAGATTCAGCATATCAAAGAACCCCAAGAATTCATTTTTTGTTAAAATCAAACTAAGTTTAATTTTGGACCCTTTGGACCTCAATGAAGACCAATTTTAAAAACGGGACCCAAATTAAAAATCTAAAAACACGGTTAGATTTGGCATATCAAAGAACCCCAATAATTCAATTTTCGATGAAATCCCACAAAGTTTAATTTTGGACCCTTTTGACCTCAATATGAACCAATTTGATAGCGGGGCCTACAAATAAAAAATCTAAATACATGGTTAGATTCAGCATATCAAAGAACCTCATATATTCAATTTTTGTTGAAATCAAACAAAGTTTAATTTTGGACCCCAATTTGGACCAACTTGAAAACTGGGCCCATAATCAAAAATCTAAGTACATGTTTAGATTCAGCATATCAAAGAACCCCATATATTCAATTTTTGTTGAAATCAAACAAAGTTTAAATACTGGACCCTATCTTGGACCAACTTGAAAACTGGGCCCATAATCAAAAATATAAACACATGTTTAGATTCAGCAAATCAAAGAACCCCAAGAATTCAATTTTTGTCAAAATCAAACTAAGTTTAATTTTGGACCCTTTGGACCTCAATGTAGACCAATTTAAAAAACAGGACCCAAAATTAAAAACCTAAATACACGGTTAGATTTGGAATATCAAAGAACCCCAATAATTCAATTTTAGATGAAATCAAACAAAGTTTAATTTTGGACCCTTTTGACCTCAATATGAACCAATTAGATAACAGGGTCCACAAATAAAAAATCTAAATACATGGTTAGATTCAGCATATCAAAGAACCCCATATATTCAATTTTTGTTGAAATCAAACAAAGTTTAATTTTGGACCCCAATTTGGACCAACTTGAAAACTGGGCCAAAAATCAAAAATCTAAATACATGTTTAGATTCAGCATATCAAAGAACCTCATATATTCAATTTTTGCTAAAATCAAACAAAGTTTAATTTTGGACCCTTTGGACATTAATGTAGACCAATTTGAAAACTGGACCAAAAATTAAAAATCTAAATACACTGTTAGATTCGGCATAACAAATAAATAAATGTGATCAAAGATTTTACAAATCTAATGCGCCATACTGTGCAATTAAAGATTACTTCTTGAAATTTTTCAATATTTGAAATTTGAAAAAAAACTAATATTTGAAGAATAATTCTTTTTAATTTCTGAAATCTGAAATGAGAAAAAATTGGCCCCCCCACAATTTCTTTTTATCCCCCCCCCCCCTTTTTCCCCCCAAAAAATTCTTTCCCTCAAGATATGGTCATAATCTCAATTCAAATTTCCAATGGAGTTGGCAACCATAATTACCCATTTAAATTTACCATAGTGCTAACTTAATCTATTTTATAATAGAATTAATAAAAATATAGTGTCAAATCTTTCATATGGATTTTTTTGTAAAAAAAAAAAGATGAAAACATTTGCAGATATTTTTAATGGTCTTCCTTTATAAATATGCATTTCTTTAAACATAATTTAAAAGCAGTGTAAGGGAAGTAACCAAAACGTTGTATTTGGATTACCTCCCTTACACTGTTTTAGATTATCTTTATTGTTCATTAACCATTACTTTATACATAATTTAAAAGCAGTGTAAGGGAGATAATTTCAATGATGTATTTGATTTATCTCCCTTACACTGCTTTAAATTATGTTTTGTACTAAAGTATTTGTCCATTAACCAGGACAACCTTGTTTTTCCCCCTTTTTTGCCCCTAATTCCTAAACGGTTTGAGCCATAACCCCCCAAAGCAAATCCTAACCATCCCTTTGTGGTATGGAAACTTGTAGTATAATTTCAGAGAGATCCATACACCGTTCCACAGTTATTGTCTGGAAACTAGAAAATGCTCATTTTTGGCCCCTTTTTGGCCCCTAATTCCTTAACTGTTGGTACCATAACCCCCAAAATCAATCCCAACCTTCCTTTTGTGGTATTTAACCTTATGGTCAAATTTCAAAAAGATCCATTCACTTAAACTAAAGTTAGAGTGCGAAAACCAATATGTATTCGGACGACGACGCCGGACGACGACGACGACGACGACGACGACGCCAACGTCATACCAATATACGACCACAAAATTTTTTTGCGGTCGTATAAAAATGGAACAAGACACAAAAAAATTTACACTGAGCAATGAACTGTGAAAATCAGGTCACGGTCAGATGACACCTGCCAGCTAGACATGTACACCTTACAATCATTCCATACACCAAATATAGTAGACCTATTGCAAACAGTATGAGAAAAACAGACTAAAACACAAAAAGTTAAGTAAAACCACCAAACCATGAAAATGAGGTTAAGGTCAGATGACACCTGCCAGCTAGACATGTACACCTTACAATCATTCCATACACCAAATATAGTAGACCTATTGCATACAGTATAAGAAAAACAGACCAAAACACAAAAACTTAACTATAACCACTGAACCATGAAAATGAGGTCAAGGTCAGATGACACCTGCCAGTTGGACATGTACACCTTACAGTCCTTCCATACACCGAATATACTAGACCTATTGCTTATAGTATCTGAGATATGGACTTGACCACGAAAACTTAACCTTTTTCACTGATCCATGAAATGAGGTTGAGGTCAAGTGAAAACTGTCTGACAGGCATGAGGACCTTGCAAGGTACGCACATACCAAATATACTTATCCTATTACTTATAATAAGAGAGAATTTAACATTACAAAAAATCTGAACTTTTTTTTCAAGTAGTCACTGAACCATGAAAATGAGGTCAAGGACATTGGACATGTGACTGACAGAAACTTCGTAACATGAGGCATCCATATACAAAGTATGAAGCATCCAGGTCTTCCACCTTCTAAAATATAAAGCTTTTAAGAAGTTAGCTAACGCTGCTGTAGCCGCCGCCGGATCACTATCCCTATGTCGAGCTTTCTGCAACAAAAGTCGCAGGCTCGACAAAAATTGTGTAAAAAATAAAATTATACAGTTTTTTACGCAGCTTCAAACCATGAAATTAATTCAAGGACAATGGACATATAATAAACTTCTTCCTTCTGAAGCGTAAAGCTTTATTCAAATAGTTTACGTTATCACAGCCAAATTATCCCCCCTTATCTTAAATTCTGTTACTTCTGTTGCAGAGGATCTTGACAATAAAACCAGAGCAAGCTTTTGAAGATGAAAGCTTCTTGCATCATACAACCACTGCTTTAATTAAGAATTTTCTCATTGTACAAATATACATGCATGCCACTAAATAAAATAGAATATAATGTGACATTGTAAGTGTATTATTGTTAAGTTTTACTGACATTGTAAGTGTATTATTGTTAAGTTTTACTGACATTGTAAGTGTATTATTGTTAAGTTTTACTGATATTTGGATGCATCAATGAATGCAAACAGGTTTTGACAGAATTTCATTTTCATTATTGGTTCTAGAATTATTTTAACAGAAAATAAACCTTGTGCTTACCATTGTATCTACCTAACCTATTTACCTATTTTTCTCAGATAGAAAAAAACACATATTTCTGCATTAAGCCAAAATGTACATAATTCATTAATCCTATACACAATTGCATTTTATCTCCCCTTTATGGCAAATGACAAATCTGCAAACAAACTCAAGTGTTCCATAATCATTACTAAGAGGTGAATTTAGGAGAGGGGTGGGTGGTGGGCATGGAGTGCTGGCCCCTCTTATGGTGCTTCATTTATGGCTAATCTAGACTTTTTACCGGTTCCACTACAAATTTTTTTTGTCTAGTTTGGGCGCTTTTTCAAAATCCTGAATCCGCATCTGATTACAAATTCCTATACAACACTAAAATGTTCATTTTGTTTGGATAACAGCAAAAAATTAAAAAATTTCAGGGCATCAATTCCATGATTGATTGTATGAAATTGTGCACACAGGAACAGATGTCATGTATCGGAAAAGGATTTAAAAAGTATGGATTAACTGTGTTTTCTTTCAGTTTTTTAGGTTATCACTACATGCGTATGTGAAGATTTGCTGGCATTGATTTTTTATCTGAAATACTGTTATCTACTAAATACTATATTTTGTTAAACATACTTATATGTTCCATTCATCTCAAGTCCTACAACTGGGCATATATAAGGTGATGTTTGTGTGTCTATATATGAATCTCCTTTCTTTGCTGTTTCTTTTTGGTAGGCTGGATTGTCTGTCAGTTTTAATTCTTTAACATCCTGCAAATAAATAAGTGATCATACTGATACAAGTTAAGATAAAATAAATTTACAGTTATAGAATCACATACTATTTTTTTCAATATCACTCAAATTGATGTTTTACATACCTAATTATGTATATATCTAGTACTTAAAAATAATAAATGTTTACCAGTTTTCCAACCAGAAAGTGAACCATCACCACAGAACTTTTTAACAACATTTAGCCTTCGTCATGGCATGTTCTCATGAGGTTATAGGTAATAGAAGAGGTCATGTTTGATGGCAGTTTGATTTATGATACACAATTTCTAATAGGGGTTATAAGTTTGTTGATTCCCTTAAATAATTGGTACTTTTTAGTATTTTTTTTTAATGATTTCTATCTGAACTAATGATGGCAATCATTTGTGATGATATTTAGAGTCATTAACCAAAATTATTAAAGGACATCATACCACACTCTTTACATGATTTTAAAATTTATTTGGTCAAATGTTAGGATCTAATTTAATCGTTAACTGCACAGTGGTTTCAGTGGAAAAGATTTTTGTAACAGTTAACAAACCTCTGATGGATGTGAGTTGATGGCAGACACTATATAGATCCTTCCCAGCAGTCTTTCAAATCTATAATGCATTAATGAACAAACTGCAAAATCTAGGCCAATGTTCACACTGAATTTAGATACAAAATAAACACTTCTTAACACATGTATTACCTACCTTTAGTCCTCTAATATGGGCAAAGCCAGATGCATTTTCAAACTTGCTCCTGTCAATCAGGAATTCTAGGATAGATTCTTTGTTATAAAGCCTATAAATAAACATCCAAAGCAATGAAGCAACAAAGAACAGGTACACATGTATCATAACAAGCATTCTGTGAGTATTGCCTGGCAATACATAGTCCCCTACCGGTTAAAAATTCATTGTATTGGAACAAAATGATACTTTGTTCTATAACTAGTCATGGTGTAAACTATATAACAAATATCAGGTCAATATCTTCAAGCATGACAAAAAAAAATGTGGAAAACTGATTATTTGACTTTGAGTGAATTTTCTAAGTTCAAGGACCATAACTCAGCACAAAATCGTCAGACCAGAACAAAATTTCGAACTTAATCTGTAACTTGTGATGATTAAACAATACACCAAATATCAAATCAATATCTTCAAGCACAAAGAAAAAAAGGGTGGAAAACTGATTTGCCGGACTGACGGATGGACAGACAGACAGACGGACGGAGTGCAAACCTAAAGTCCCCTTAGACTTCGTCGGTACGAGACTAATTGGGACCTAATTAACTATGTTGAAATAGGTAAACTTAATATGTTTTATTTTTAAATAGCAAAATGTTTAAGAAAACTATAATTTTGTGCAGGCTTTGTTTCATGAAGGTAGACAAAAGTTTAATATTTTATGATAATGATTGAAAGTATCAATACTAGATCGTTTTTACTATAAATAAATATAAGCAAGTCCTCTAACCATCAATTTATTTTAAAAATATTATGAAGTCATGGGTTCAACAAATGTTAAACAGATTTTAGTGGTCTGCTCATTTGCTCATAGTTAATTCCATTTAAACCACTTTAAAACTTATTTTCTTCTGGGTCTTTTTTTATTTATTTTTGTGACCTTAGTCACATTTAGAGACTCTTGAACATTTTTTATACCAATTTAAAGTTATTAGCCTTATCACATGTATGAGATTTATTGATTTTTTTATGAGTACCTTCCAAGTTCACATCCCATAATTGGTGTTCTAAGTGGTTCCTGTGTAATAGCACATAGTTTCCATTTTGCAGCCAAATCAGCTACTTTATCTTTCTGGAATGTAAACAGAAAACAGAATGTATTGTTTTTATAAAGTAAACAATATGGAACAGGTTGTGTCACAATCCCTAATGGTATTCCAATTTCCAAACCTTCCTTAAGTGGCATGGATTATAAACATTGTGTTGAATTTCATCTAGAATAAAAGTTTCAAAGTTCAATGTTATGGGGTAAAAACCACAAAAAAACATGAAAAACACCAAAAACATCTTTTAAATGATTGAACAATCTAGTTTTTAGATATATCAGTTATAAAATTTTATCATATACATTGTATCATCACTAGATTGGCTTCATAAATTACAATTGCAACCCTTAAGCCAGTAACAAAAATATCTGTCAGTCTCAATATCCATTTTTAATATACAAATGTAACTGTATATAATTAACTGCTTATATTTAAATAGGGATAAAAACCAACACACTATATGTTCTTAATTTATTACTGCAATTAGATTTTTGGTTTTTCATCCTCCTTCCTTTCTCCTATATCAACCTGCTCTGTCTCTATGTAATTTTCCTATTACAGCTTTGTAACGTGAACAGAAGTTATCAGAGACGTCACAATGTGTAAGAGACATTATCAAACTTACTTGCATCAAGCGTACAACTGTCTACGGGTGGGGGAAAAGAGAACTCAGACTGTCGTTAACATTTACCTTATTATGAATATTAGAAAAAATTGCCATAATGAAAAATATTATTATTACCGTACTTCTTATATTTGTCTGACATTGTGAGGTATAGGAAATTCTTAAGTGTTGACAATTTTATAATGTTCTAGGGTTTTATTCAATATGGCATGCAAGCACTTTAAGTTTTGGCTTGTAATGTTTAAACAATAAAATATAGTTCAAAGACAGATATTTTGTCATGTTTGTTGTCTTTAGAATTGTGGGGATCAAACTATAACCCAAGCTGCAAACACAAGCTGTACAACTTTGATCTTCATTTTGAAATTATCAAAACTCATTATAAAGTTACATAAAATATTGATTAATGCATATAACTACAATCAATTATGATTCCATTTAATATGTTTCTTCAAACAAAATAAAATTTTGTATTGCATATTTTATGTAAGGATTTTTTATATCACTATCAAAATTCTTGTTTTACAGTATTGAATGTTAAATCATTTTTAAATATTATTTTTTCCTAACTAGTAACTCAGATCTGTATTTTGTGTCTTTTTTTGTTGTTAGGAATGTATAAATACCCTGCCATGTGCGGTCTGTGTTTTTGTTTGATGTTTTCTGCTTAGTATCGTTCTGATGAGTTAAGCTATTTTCAACTGATTTTTATAGTTTGTTCTTATTGTTGTGCTGTTAAACCACTGTCCCAGTTTAGGGGAGGGCTGAGCGCTCACAAACATGTTTAACCCGCCGCATTCTTTATGTGCCTATTCCAAAATGTTTTCAAATGTACATATATTTTGATTTTTGATTTTGTTTCTTTTTTTCTGGTTACCTTGTAAATTATAAATCAAATTTTATAGTCGACACCCGGTGAATAATCTTCAATAAATGAAGGATCGCTAGAAACTTAAAGAAGAAGAAGAGCCTGTAGTTCAGTGGTTGTTGTTGGTTCATGTCTGTCATATTTGATTTTTATTAATTATTTTGTTACATAAATTAGGCTGTTAGTTTTTCTCAATTGAATTGTTTCATATTTTTATGTTTGGGCCTTTTATAGCCGTCTATACAGTATGTGCTCATTGTTGAAGGCTGTACGGTTGCCTATAATTGCTTACATCCACTTCATTTGAACTTTGGTGGATAGTTGACTCATTGGAAATCATACATGTACCACATCTCCTTATTTTCATTATAATGATACTCGAATTTAATTTTGTGATGTAAAAAAATAGACACAAAAAAATCAATAGGAAGTGCGTGCAAGTTGTCAACATTTTCTGAAATTTCAATTTTCAATACATGTACCTGTTCCGGTTTTTTCTTTGTTCTAACTAGTTCGTCTCTTCTAGGAATTGTTCCTCCATCGCATCCCATGTTTCTTGAATATGATGACAAGTAACAAAAAATATGAGCCCAAAAATGTTGAACTAAACAGCAAAAGGGGAGATAATATTCAGTCGCAATTCTATTTTAGTTTCGAATGAATTTTGGTGGATACAATTTATTCATATTGAACAGGATATTTTTTTATGATATTTATGGTTCTATAATCTATACAAATTCCATTTTTTAAAGTCTTGACTTTTTTTGTAAATCCTCTTTAGTTTCGTATGTACACTGTAAAAGTTGACACGACAGCGGACGAGACAGGTGCTTGAGTGCACGTAAGCTGAGTTTTGTTGTAAAAGTAGGTACTTCAATCTGAATGATATCTCGACATTCCTCCATCTTTAAATCTTACATGAAAATATTCATATTGTTAATAATATCCTTTTTCTTTCCTGTTTTGCTCAGAAAAATACACAAATTTTAGGAATTAAAAAAGGATATAACAAGCAAATACTCATTATTTTGAGTCTAAATTGTGCGCTTTCAATCGTCTTTTCTCAAACCAATCGCATTTTATCTTCAGAACTACAAATTTTGTTTCTTGTATCCTGGATAATCCAAAATTCAGGTGAAACAATATGCCTGACAGACTTATCAACATGATCAACCTCTGGCATTATAATTATGACCTACAGGCTACACATAATTTGTTACACATGATGTTTGCATACAAAAGAAAAAAAAAGATGTTTTAAACTTTATTCATTGGTTATTTCGGAATATCACAACTTTAATTTCAGGGTTTTGACTATATTTTGAGCATTCAAGATACCAGAAGTTCAGTGATGCAGCTAATCGTCGGACCTAGGGGCAGAATTTTAGAGGGTCCGGCAAATGATGTCTTTGTTTCAGACCCAATGCCAGCAAATATTTTACTGTTTGGGGCCGTCAAAATTGAAATTTCTGTTGGTCCTGATTATCTTGGCTTCCAAATCAATTATGTAGTTGAAAAGCATTGAATACCAAAAGTTCTATTGACACATTTATTGCCGGTAATAGGTAAACGTGCTGATGTAAACAGATTTCTATCTTCTCTGCATTTATCAAATAAGTGTAAGTCATGTGATCATAATTATTTTCGTATTTCCTGGGATTTATCATTACACATAGCAATGAATGAAAACAAAAGTAAATTTTAGGTACATGTAAATATATTGAATAAAAGCATGATTTCTGCTTCTTTCTGATAGCTGAGGGATAATTCTGATGATTACAAGACTCAGCAAGTGTTATTAGGACGTATCTCTCGGACGCATAGTTTATGCAATGGTGCGTCCAGACAGAAAACCATGTTTCAGGACGTGAATATGCACCTTAACGAGAACATTGTTAGTACGACCAGGAACATATATATTGACATACTGTTCCTAGGTACGACAAACACTGGTTTCATCTCCATATGACAAATCAGTGGTGCATGAATTAAAACAATTGGAACAATAGACGGCCAAATCAATTATGAACTTGAAAATCATTGAAAACCAAAAGTTCTATTAAGGGACAACTAATGACCTGATTTATGTAAATTAAATTACATTGTAAACAAAAACAAGTGTTATTTTAGTTTTCTAAGAGTATTTTTTTCATTTAAGTTCATCTTCTTTTTGACGTAAATGTAGCTTGCCACAGCTGTCTTTGTTTTTGATCTAATTGTTCTTATGCCAATTAATAAAACAACTATCCATTAAGTTAATGGATAGTTGTCTTATTGGCAAGTGTAGTTCAACATTCTCATTTATTTATTTGATATTGTAGGATAATTTAAATTGAATGAAGTCAAAGTAACTATACAACCCCATTGCCATATCCTTATTAAACCTTGTCGTTCTAGTCAAGGTTTTTTAGGCGTATCTTAATCCAACTGGGAACTTGTTATTATTTTTAAAAAAAAGTAGGTCTGGCAAACAGTTGATTGGACTGGCAAAACTGTCTTACATGCAGGACCCAATGTCTGATAGGAAAAAAAAATTGCATATTATTGCCCCCTAGTCCAAATAAATATGACGTTTCCTTCATTCGTAGATGTAACAGGAAAAAAAGCTTTTCTAGACTTCATAATTATTTGGACTAATTGCCCCCTTACCCTTGGGAATCTGTCACCCATGTCTGACAGATTTTACTTTTATTGTACAAAAATGAGTACAAGATGTAAATTATTAATTTTTGTTTTACTGTTAAACAGATTTTTTTCTTTTAAAAGAAATGTCAAGTGGATGTGTTTTGGTGACAGGAGGAGCTGGCTTTGTTGGCACCCATTCTGTCATAGAACTAGTCAATGCAGGATATTCTGTTGTTGTTGTAGACAACTTTGTTAATGCTAGCCATGGTATGTTCTAAGATATCTTTATATCCATTTGTCATACATTTTCACTGATTACGCAGGAATTAGCCAAGCAAATTGAGACATAATACATTATTGAAAAATATGCAAATATTGAATGTTGTATGTCTTAATTTAACACAAAAAAAACCTGTTCGTCATTGAAAAGAAATAGGGACATTTAAGGTATCGGTTTTCTATTTGGTGCATTTTCATAAGAGAACGCTTTGTAAATCTCAAAGAAATAATTTAAGTTGTTAATGGCAACACAGATGGACTGGGAAAGTATGGCTAAAGAGCTAACTCTACCATGTTACTGACAATGAATTTAAGCTAGCCAAGCTTCGGGGACTAAAGGGGACTAAAGAGATGACAAGTCCAATTGCTTTCAGCTATTTGTGTGACCAAAAAAGATGACTACAGAGTCTGCAGGGTGACTTTTTTGTCTACTTATTGTCTGCAGGGTGACTTTTTTGTCTACTTATTGTCTGCAGGGTGACTTTTTTGTCTACTTATTGTCTGCAGGGTGACTTTTTTGTCTACTTATAGTTTGCAGGGTGACTTTTTTGTCGACTTATACAGTTTGGTGAGTCTTCCTAACAGAACTTTACGTAAGAAATATTCTTAATATTTTATGTCATTTGGTCCAGTTATAATTAACTATTTACTGGACTTAACCCTTTTAAATAACTAACCATAAGGATGATCATATTTTTTTTAGAATTTCAATTTTTGTCCATCTGATTGATGTTAATTATTTTGTTACAGAAAGTTTGAAAAGAGTTGAGGAAATATGTGGTGCAAAAATCCCAATCTTCTCTGTAGATTTAACAGACAAACAAGCTTTAGCAGATTTATTTAAAAAGGTAAGTAAATGTGGAATAATATTTAAGACTGGAAAGTATATTGGTACAAAGTTTGAAAACAGGTAAAAAAAATTAGGCTCACTGAGAATTTCTGTCTTGTTTTGTGCTAAAACAAATAAAATTGAGACAGGCACATGAACATTTGACAGGGTTAATCTAGCTTTGGGGAACCTCCCCCTTTTTTATCTTGATCAGTGGAAAAACAAGTCAGATCGATTGCATGTTTACTTGTAGTGTGAACGCATTGGTTTAGAATAGACTGATAGAGATCGTTAGGATTAAAGATAATGTGAAAGCTAACTGGTTTTATTTAGATTGATTCTAATTTAGATCTATTAAAAGAATGCTAGTATGCACAGGGTCTTAAGTTAAAAGTCCTGAACCATCTGATTGAGATGAAATCATGTTATGGAACACTAATATCAGTTTTTGTACTTAAGAGTACATAGATTCCATGCAACTATGTTATAAATAGTGCAAGAGGACAATATCTTGTGCAATGGCACTTAAAATATACAGTCTGAACAGTCAACATAATTCGATAGCATGGTTGTAGCATAAATAATGTATAACTAAAGGAAAAAAGATGTCTCCACATTTAACATATGTGCTCATTATATTGTTTTCTTTGTGAAACATGGTGTAGTGAAAAATCCTCTTGCATCTGTATCTTTTATAGCACAGGACAGGGCATGAAAAATTTTATGATGCAAATCGTTTCAAATTTTTTTTTTTAAAGATTTTTCCTGCTCTTAAGTCGTTTTCTTGTTTAAAACATGTAACTTATGTTGTTGGCCAATAGCAAAAATAATAAAATCCCTACCTACCTACCGAACCCTTCAAGGCATGGGTAGGCAACATCAAACAAGGAATTTTTTAAGGGCAGTCCAACTCTTCCTTTAAATGAATATATACAAATTTTAAAAGAGTAGTTGATATTTAAAGCAAAATTAAGTTAAAAGAAAAAGCAGATAATAAATATTTGATTAAGACCAAACTATATATATATATTTGTATGATTACAGCACAAGTTTACCAGCGTTATACATTTTGCTGGTCTGAAAGCTGTAGGAGAGTCCTGCGAATTACCACTACTTTACTACAAAGTGAACATAGGAGGGACAACTAATTTACTAGAGGTAAAAGTAACTTACTATTGCAAATTATTCAATCAAAACTGACTACAAACATGACAGTGTAACACATAGCTATTAAGGATTTTTCCTTATTTGTAAACAAACACATGTAGAATTATGTATCTTTAAATTAGATAATGAGATAATCATGCAGGGATATCTCCATGCTGTATGATCAAACTTCTAATGATAGCTATATTATTTTTACATTGTGAAGATATATATTTGTGTTATTTTAGGTTATGAAAGAAAACAATGTAAAGAATCTGATATTTTCAAGTTCAGCTACAGTATATGGTACACCAGAATATTTACCTTTAGATGAGAACCATCCAACAGGGGGATGTACAAACCCATATGGCAAAACAAAATACTTCATAGAAGAAATAATGAAAGATCTGTCTAAATCAGACCCTGTAAGTTGTATTAATGAAAGATCTGTCTAAATCAGACCCTGTAAGTTGTATTAATGAAAGATCTGTCTTAATCGGACCCTGTAAGTTGTATTAACAATTTTCAATAATAATTCTGAGAAAACTAAAGGTTGTTTTCATGTTGGATATTAACGAGAAAAAAAGAAGTCAAGATATAAAATTTCAGTTTGATTAATCATTAGTTCTGTGAATAGGCTTGTGGTAAGGCCAAAATGAATAAAAGTTTTGTTAAGCAATATCCCTGCCTTTCCTATTTTGTAATGCCTAAAAATGCTTACCTTAAAATTTTAATTGACACTTTTGATAGTGAATCACAACAAAATTGCAGGACTCCCCATATAATCAAGGTAGAAAAATTGAGGAAACTTTAAACGCAGAGAATATTTACTTTTGTTCCTATCTTATCAAACAGACGTGATGTATAAACTGATATTACATGTAATAAGATTTGAATTACAACAAAAAGCTTTATTTTCATAAATAGACATTACTTAGTTAGTTAGAAAAGAAACTAAAAACTGCATCAGATGTCAGACGCTACCCTGATATACCCTGTCTTTTGTTTTTTGTCCTCAGTTTTGTTGTTAACGTATTTTGTCGGGTACTTAATGACGGATAACGTTTGACGTCTTTAGCCGAACAGTTTTATCATTTTTACTTTTTTATATTCCTGTGTGCTGGTTCATATTCTGGACACCATTCTTTGCTCCTTTCAATTGGTAAAACAGATAACAAAAAAAAAATCATGAAACTTCGAAATGGAAAAATACTTAATACTAAACTCGTTCAAAGGGTATCTACACGTCTCAATCTTCAAAATCGATGATCTAAAATGTTACCTTTTCTGACATCGGACTCTGACTTCTTTTAAACTGAGTTTTACTGTGCGTATTGCTATGTTACATTGGTTAGCGGTATAGGGGGAGGGTTGAGATCTCACAAAACATGTTTAACCCCTGCTGCATTTTTGCGCCTGTCCCAAGTCAGGAGCCTCTGGCCTTTGTTAGTCTTGTATGTTTTTTAATTTTAGTTCATTTATATATTTTGGAGTTTAGTGTGACGTCCATTTTCACTGAACTAGTACACAATTTTATTTAGGGGCCAGCTGAGGACCTCCTCCGGGTGCGTGATTTTCTCGCTGCGTTGAAGACCCATTGGTGGCCTTCGGCTGTTGTCTGCTCTTTGGTCGGGTTGTTGTCTCTTTGACATATTCCCCATTTCCATTCTTAATTTTATTATTACTTTTTATAGATATTTTTTTGTTCATGCAAAGTCAAATATGTTTTCAACATACATTTAGTATAGAACCAAATTTTGTAAATAGATATAAGAAGATGTGGTATGAGTGCCAATGAGACAACTCTCCATCCAAGTCACAATTTGTAAAAGTAAACCATTATAGGTCAAAGTACGGCCTTCAACACAGAGCCTTGGCTTTTAATCTGTGGTTATTATATGTCTGTTTTAGGAATGGAACATTGTTATATTGCGTTACTTCAATCCAGTAGGTGCTCACAAATCAGGAAAGATTGGAGAAGACCCTCAAGGTGTTCCAAATAATTTGATGCCATATTGTGCTCAGGTAGCTGTTGGAAAGAGAAAGGAGATAAATGTTTATGGCAACGATTATGACACACCAGATGGCACTGGTAAGAATTGTTGTATTTTACACATTGTTTTAAAATGGTGTATCCCTAGTCCTTACAAAATAAGTTGAATATTGGCTACATGTATGTGATTTCATAACATATTGTGATACATTTTTTTTTAAATAGATAGACATGTTAAAGATAAGGCAGGTTATGATATATGTGCTTGGTTTTCAGTTAGCAATGATTAAAGTTTGATTTTAGCTTACACAATTAAATTCTGCTCGCTAGAATTGTAGTTTAATTGGTTATTATGCCCCCACTGTAACGGAGGGCAGGGATGGGGTAATTGAAAATGTAATGGTAATTAAGTGTAATGCATTACAATTTTACATGTAATTGAATGTAATGTGTAATTGAGCATTTTTTTAATTACATGTAATGGTAATTTAATTAATTACAAAGAAAAAAGCGTGTAATACTAAATTACTTTTGAATTACATCTCAATTACATGTACTTTTTGGTGTTAATGATAAGAAATTATGGTAATATAGTATTTAATTGACATACAGAAATGTTTGCTTAATAGTCTTATAACTTTAAAACATGTGAGAATCATATATTAGTGTTGTTCAGTTTTTAAGAAAGATCTTTATCTAAATAGATTGATAACATGTATATATACATTCCATCAATACATGTATTTATGGTCAAACAAATGTGTAACTCTTTCTTAGACAGTTCATTTAGAATTTTAAATCACTGCACAAAATCATTTTGTCAAATTAGTATACACAAAAGGATTATAGAAATAAAGATTATCAGCTGTAAAAACAAACAGCAATTAATCAGATTAAAATGTGTAATAAAACAGCCTAGGGACAATGCCAATATTACATGTATTTTATCTAATTAGCAAAATAGTGCTGATATTTAGACATTACACACTGTTTGTACTAAAAAATAGTTTCAATATTGTGACAAGCATACTTTTGAATATTTGTAAAGTAAAAAAACATGAAGAAATTTTTAGTTTATTTATAATTTTTTTATTTATATTATGTTGAATTAAATGACTTCATTTCTGAATTGTCAAAATACCCCTTAATTTATTGGCAAGTTGATAGGAACACATTCCCTCTTCCATCAACACATCTTATGATCTAGCAATACCGGCCACATCAGCTCTTGTCCAAACAAAGTGTTCGGACCAGAGAGATGTAGACTAAATGACAAAACATTAAAACTTCTTATGATGATCAAATGCAATGCTAAAACTATGTTGTCAGCTTACATCAATATTTTACACATGCTATATATACATGATATATATTGTAAACAATGTTTAAAAAAAATATGATAAAATGTAATGTGTAATTTAATTCATTACTTTAGTAAAGTAATTGTAATTTAATTAATTACATTTCAAAAACTGTGTAATGGTAATTAGTGTAATTGATCATTTTTGCAATGTAATGTGTAATTTAATTAATTACATTCCAATGTAATTGACCCCAAGTCTGACGGAGGGGGGCATTAAGTTTTACCCTTGTCTGTACGTACGTCCCAAAATTGGTTTCCGTTCTCTAACTTCAGTTTGCCTCAACCAAATGTTATGAAACTTATACCCAATACTTATTACCACAAAACACAGATCAAATTTGAATTTGGGTAGCGTCACTTTTACCATTCTAGAGTTATGCCCCTTTACAAATGGAAAAATTGCTGAATTTTTTCATTTCCGTTCTCTAGTTTGCCTCAACCAAATGTTATGAAACTTATACACAATGCTTATTACAACAAAACACAGATCAAGGTTGAATTTGGGTAGCGTCACTTTTACCATTCTAGAGTTATGCCCCTTTACAAATGGAAAAATTGCTGAATTTTTCGTTTCCGTTTTCTTACTTTAGTTTGCCTCAACCAAATGTTATGAAACTTATACACAATGCTAATTACCACAAAACACAGTTCAAGTTCGAATTTTGGTGGCGCCACTTTTACCGTTCTAGTGTTATGTCCCTTTACAAATGGAAAAATTGCTGAATTTTTCGTTTCCGTTCTCTAACTTAAGTTTGCCTCAAATAAATGTTATGCCCGTATACACAATGCTTATTACCACAAAACTCAGATCAAGTACAAGTTTGGGTAGAGTCACTTTTACAGTTCTTGAGTTATGTCCCTTTTTAACATTATATGCAAGTGGGGGCATCATCCATCTGTGTCCCATGGACACATTCCCCATTTATTTAAGAGTGTGTTCTTGTTGGTGATGTTTATAACTTTTATAAAAAAGAGGATATTATTGAACACCTTTTACACAGTGATATATTCAGAATCGGAACTATGAAATTTAAATGACTTCTTGTTACCTACTTATTTTGGTTAAAAATTATAGAATGACTAATCAAAGAATTCAAATGTAGTAAAACATTCAACGAGTGACCAAACAACACAGTAATTCATAAATGTCTGTAGTGATTGAGTTAATTATCAGAGTTAATTAGTCACAATATTTGAATTCTTGCATTAGTTATTCTTTTTATTACATTGACATGAACATTTTAATGGAAATAGAGAAGGAAATGCAAGGGACTGTTTCTCTTCTTCACATTCAAATTCTCAATTTGTTTTGATGCAACATAACAACATCCATTGTATGACATCAGAGGAGCAAAGTTATCAGATTTAATTTACATGTCAAATTATTGGTTTTTAGCTCACCTGGCCCAAAGGGCCAAGTGAGCTTTTTTCATCACTTGTCGTCAGTCGTCGTCGTCGTCAGTCGTCTTTAACTTTTACAAAAATCTTCTCCTCTGAAACTACTGGGCCAAATTGAACCAAACTTGTCCACAATCATCATTAGGGTATTTAGTTTAAAAAATGTGTCCGGTGACCCGGCCAACCAACCAAGATGGCCGCCATGGCTAAAAATAGAACATAGGGGTAAAATGTAGATTTTGGCTTATATCTCTGAAACCAAAGCATTTAGAGCAAATATGACGGGGTAAAATTGTTTATCAGGTCAAGATCTATCTGCCCTGAAATTTTCAGATGAATCGGACAACCCGTTCTTGGGTTGCATCCCCTGAATTGGTAATTTTAAGGAAATTTTGCCGTTTTTGGTTATTATCTTGATTATGATAATAGATAGAGATAAACTGTAAACAGCAATAATGTTCAGCAAAGTAAGATCTACAAATAAGTCAACTTGACCAAAATGGTCAGTTGACCCCTTAAGGAGTTATTGCCCTTTATAGTCAATTTTTAACCATTTTTCGTAAATTTTTGTAATCTTTTACAAAAATCTTCTCCTCTGAAACTACTAAGACAAATTTAACCAAACTTGTCCACAATCATCATTAGGGTATCTAGTTTAAAACATGTGTCCAATGACCCCGCCCGTGAACCAAGATGGCCGACATGGCTAAAAAATAGTACATAGGGTAAAATGCAGTTTTTGGCTCATATCTCTGAAACCAAAGCATTTAGAGCAAATCAGATGGGATAAAATTGTTCATTAGTTCAAGATCTATTTGCCCTGAAATTTTCAGACCAATCAGGCAACACGTTGTTGGGTTGCTGCCCCTGAATTGGTAATTTTTAAAAAAAATTTGCAGCTTTTGGTTATTATCTTGAATATTATTATAGATAGAGATAAACTGTAAACAGCAATAATGTACAGCAAAGTAAGATCTACAAATAAGTCAACATGACCAAAATCGTCAATTGACCCCTTAAGGAGTTATTGCCCTTTATAGTCAATTTTTTAGCTCACCTGACCTGAAAGGTCAAGTGAGCTTTTCTCATCACTTTGCGTCCGTCGTCCGTAAACTTTTACAAAAATCTTCTCCTCTGAAACTACTGGGCCAAATTTGACAAAACTTGGCCACAATCATTATTGGGGTATCTAGTTTTAAAAATGTGTCCGGTGACCCGGCCAACCAACCACGATGGCCGCCATGGCTAAAAATAGAACATAGGGGTAAAATGTAGATTTTGGCTTATATCTCTGAAACCAAAGCATTTAGAGCAAATCTGACATGGGGTAAAATTGTTTATCAGGTCAAGATCTATCTGCCCTGAAATTTTCAGATGAATCGGACAACCCGTTGTTGGGTTGCTGCCCCTGAATTGGTAATTTTAAGGAAATTGTGCAGTTTTTATACGACCGCCAAAAAATTTTGTGGTCGTATATTGGTATGACGTTGGCGTCGTCGTCGTCGTCGTCCGGCGTCGTCGTCGTCCGAATACACATTGGTTTTCGCACTCTAACTTTAGTTTAAGTGAATGGATCTTTTTGAAATTTGACCATAAGGTTAAATACCACAAAAGGAAGGTTGGGATTGATTTTGGGGGTTATGGTACCAACAGTTAAGGAATTAGGGGCCAAAAAGGGGCCAAAAATAAGCATTTTCTAGTTTCCAGACAATAACTGTGGAACGGTGTATGGATATCTCTGAAATTATACTACAAGTTTCCATACCACAAAGGGATGGTTAGGATTTGCTTTGGGGGGTTATGGCTCAAACCGTTTAGGAATTAGGGGCAAAAAAGGGGGAAAAACAAGGTTGTCCTGGTTAATGGACAAATACTTTAGTACAAAACATAATTTAAAGCAGTGTAAGGGAGATAAATCAAATACATCATTGAAATTATCTCCCTTACACTGCTTTTAAATTATGTATAAAGTAATGGTTAATGAACAATAATGATAATTTAAAACAGTGTAAGGGAGGTAATCCAAATACAACGTTTTGGTTTCTTCCCTTTCACTGCTTTTAAATTATGTTTAAAGAAATGCATATTTATAAAGGAAGACCAGTAAAAATATCTGCAAATGTTGCATCTTTTTTTTTACAAAAAAATCCATATGAAAGATTTGACTCTATATTTTTAATTCTATTATAAAATAGATTAAGTTAGCACTATGATAAATTTAAATGGGTAATTATGGTTGCCAACTCCATTGGAAATTTGAATTGAGATTTTGACCATATCTTGAGGGAAAGAATTTTTTTGGGGAAAAAAAGGGGGGGGGGATAAAAAGAAATTGTGGGGGGTCAATTTTTTCTCATTTCAGATTTCAGAAATTAAAAAGAATTATTCTTCAAATATTATTTTTTTTTTCAAATTTCAAATATTGAAAAATTTCAAGAAGTAATCTTTAATTGCACAGTATGGCGCATTAGATTTGTAAAATCTTTGATCACATTTATTTATTTGTTATGCCGAATCTAACAGTGTATTTAGAATTTTAATTTTGGGTCCAGTTTTCAAATTGGTCTACATTAAGGTCCAAAGGGTCCAAAATTAAACTTTGTTTGATTTTAGCAAAAATTGAATATATGAGGTTCTTTGATATGCTGAATCTAAACATGTATTTAGATTTTTGATTTTTGGCCCAGTTTTCAAGTTGGTCCAAATTGGGGTCCAAAATTAAACTTTGTTTGATTTCAACAAAAATTGAATATATGGGGTTCTTTGATATGCTGAATCTAACCATGTATTTAGATTTTTTATTTGTGGACCCCGTTATCAAATTGGTTCATATTGAGGTCAAAAGGGTCCAAAATTAAACTTTGTTTGATTTCATCTAAAATTGAATTATTAGGGTTCTTTGATATTCCAAATCTAACCGTGTATTTAGATTTTTTAATTTTGGGTCCTGTTTTTTAAATTGGTCTACATTAAGGTCCAAAGGGTCCAAAATTAAACTTAGTTTGATTTTAACAAAAATTGAATTCTTGGGGTTCTTTGATATGCCGAATCTAAACATGTGTTTAGATTTTTGATTATGGGCCCAGTTTTCAAGTTGGTCCAAGATAGGGTCCAGTATTTAAACTTTGTTTGATTTCAACAAAAATTGAATATATGGGGTTCTTTGATATGCTGAATCTAAACATGTATTTAGATTTTTGATTATGGGCCCAGTTTTCAAGTTGGTCCAAATTGGGGTCCAAAATTAAACTTTGTTTGATTTCATCAAAAATTGAATTATTGGGGTTCTTTGATATGCCAAATCTAACCGTGTTTTTAGATTTTTAATTTGGGTCCCGTTTTTTTTTAAATTGGTCTTCATTGAGGTCCAAAGGGTCCAAAATTAAACTTAGTTTGATTTTAACAAAAATTGAATTCTTGGGGTTCTTTGATATGCTGAATCTAAACATGTGTTTAGATTTTTGATAATGGGCCCAGTTTTCAAGTTGGTCCAAGTTGGGGTCCAAAATTAAACTTTTTTTGATTTCAACAAAAATTGAATATATGGGGTTCTTTGATATGCTGAATCTAACCATGAATTTAGATTTTTTATTTGTGGGCCCCGCTATCAAATTGGTTCATATTGAGGTCAAAAGGGTCCAAAATTAAACTTTGTTTGATTTCATCAAAAATTGAATTATTGGGGTTCTTTGATATTCCAAATCTAACCGTGTATTTAGATTTTTAATTTTAAGTCCCGTTTTTTAAATTGGTCTTCATTAAGGTCCAAAGGGTCCAAAATTAAACATAGTTTGATTTTAGCAAAAATTGAATTCTTGGGGTTCTTTGATATGCTGAATCTAAACATGTGTTTAGATTTTTGATTATGGGCCAAGTTTTCAAGTTTGTCCAAGTTGGGGTCCAAAATTAAACTTTGTTTGATTTTAACAAAAATTGAATATATGGGGTTCTTTGATATGCTGAATCTAACCATGTATTTTGATTTTGGACATTGGACCATAATAGGTAAATTAAAAAAATTCAAGTTCTTAGACCACATTCTTTCTGTGTCAGAAACCTATGCTGTGTCAAATATTTAATAACAATCCAAATTCAGTGCTGTATCAAGCTTGAATGTTGTGTCCATACTTGCCCCAACTGTTCAGGGTTCGACCTCTGCGGTCGTATCAAGCTGCGCCCCAGCGAAGCATTTTATTGGTTATTATCTTGAATGTTATTATAGATAGAGGTAAACTGTAAACAGCAATAATGTTCAGCAAAGTAAGATCTACAAATAAGTCAACTTGACCAAAATGGTCAGTTGACCCCTTAAGGAGTTATTGCCCTTTATAGTCAATTTTTAACCATTTTTCATAAATTTTTGTAATCTTTTACAAAAATCTTCTCCTCTGAAACTACTAAGACAAATTTAACCAAACTTGTCCACAATCATCATTAGGGTATCTAGTTTAAAACATGTGTCCAATGACCCCGCCCGCGAACCAAGATGGCCGACATGGCTAAAAAATAGTACATAGGGTAAAATGCAGTTTTTGGCTCATATCTCTGAAACCAAAGCATTTAGAGCAAATCTGATGAGTATAAAATTGTTCATTAGGTCAAGATCTATCTGCCCTGAAATTTTCAGACCAATCAGGCAACCCGTTGTTGGGTTGCTGCCCCTGAATTGGTAATTTTAAGGAAATTTTGCCGTTTTTGGTTATTATCTTGAATATTATTATAGATAGAGATAAACTGTAAACAGCAATAATGCTCAGCAAAGTAAGATCTACAAATAAGGCAACATGACCAAAATTGTCAATTGACCCCTTAAGGAGTTATTGCCCTTTATAGTCAATTTTTTACAATTTTCATAAATTTTGTAAATTTTTAAAAGTATTTTCCACTGTAACTACCAGGCCAAGTTCATTATAGATAGAGATAATAGTAAGGAGCAAGAATATTCAGTAAAGTAAGATCTACAAATACATCACCATCACCAAAACACAATTTTGTCATGAATCCATCTGTGTCCTTTGTTTAATATGCACATAGACCAAGGTGAGCGACACAGGCTCTTTAGAGCCTCTAGTTACAATTTTCATAAATTTTGTAAATTTTTGTAAATTTTTACAAAATATTTTCCACTGTAACTACTGGGCCAAGTTCATTATAGATAGAGATAATTGTAAGCAGCAAGAATGTTCAGTAAAGTAAGATCTACAAACACATTACCATCACCAAAACACAATTTTGTCATGAATCCATCTGTGTCCTTTGTTTAATATGCACATAGACCAAGGTGAGCGACACAGGCTCTTTAGAGCCTCTAGTTACAATTTTCATAAATTTTGTAAATTTTTGTAAATTTTTACAAAATATTTTCCACTGTAACTACTGGGCCAAGTTCATTATAGATAGAGATAATTGTAAGCAGCAAGAATGTTCAGTAAAGTAAGATCTACAAACACACCACCATCACCAAAACACAGTTTTGTCATGAATCCATCTGTGTCCTTTGTTTAATATGCACATAGACCAAGGTGAGCGACACAGGCTCTTTAGAGCCTCTAGTTATTTTACCTCAAAATCATGGTATTTCATGGCTACCAATGTAATAAATGGTTTATTGTTACATGTACATTTTTTTGTACTACTATACATTGCAGGAGTCAGAGACTATATACATGTTGAAGATATAGCAATTGGACATGTTGCAGCACAGAAAAAAATTGAAGAATGCTGTGGTCTTAAGGTAATAAAAAGGAACTCATCAAACAGGCAGTATTTATTTATTTTAAAACTAGATTTGAGATGTATGTTGACCTCTATATTTTTTGTCTGCTTGTTTTTTTATGGATTACTGTCTTATTGATGCTACTTTTACTTTTCTACAGATTTTACCATTTTAGCATTGTGAATATTCATGAGTGGTGGAAGTAAAGTTTCATTTGAGTGATATACCACTATTTCTTAACTTTAATTCTTTATTTCATTTCTTATCTGCAAAATTTACTTTTGATGTAATTGTGGTACACTGCTGGAAATGGTTGTAGTATTTCTCATTGCTTTAGGGCTCCTCCACAGAAAGGGAAGTAATTGTGCTACATAGTTGGAAATGGTTGTAGTATTTCTCATTGCTTTAGGACTTCTCCACAGAAAGGGAAGTAAATGTGATACATAGTTGAAAATGGTTGTAGTATTTCTCATTGCTTTAGGACTTCTCCACAGAAAGGGAGGTAATTGTGATACACAGCTGGAAATGGTTGTAATTTGCATGTTATTATGATCTGATTCATAATTTTGGAAATATGTCTTTAACAGCCAGAAGTAGCTCAAGCATTCATACCTACACATTATACAACATATTAACTTCATTAGGAGTACATTATGAAAGAGATTAGATATTACACACTATAATGAACTTAACCTTATAGCATTAGCATTGCAATTTGTGAGAGGACTGTTAGACATAAGTTTCAAGTTACCACTTGGAACATTGAGAGCACTGTTAAACATAAAGTTTCAAGTTACCAAATGGAACATTAAGAGCACTGTTAAACATAAAGTTTCAAGTTACCAAATGGAACATTAAGAGCACTGTTAAACATATAGTTTCAAGTTACCAAATGCAATATTGATTTGTTTGCTTGGGTAACCTTGATCTATATGATCAAAATAATAATAATTGGTTCTGTATAAAACAGCAAATCAATACATGTATAATCTTATTATTATCATCTTGTATCACACACTATATAACAGTATATTTATACATTGTAGATATACAATTTAGGGACAGGACAAGGCTATTCTGTGATGGATATGATTAATGCATTAAGTAAAGCTGCAGGTAAACCAGTAAGTATGAATATAGGATGCCTTCACTGATCTTCAGCCCTTTAATGGAAAAGAGAAGGAAAACTGATAGATTTTGGAACAATTAAATTTAAAAATTCTCTAATTCATCATGTTTATGGTTGTATGTATATATTTCTCTCATTCTTAGTTGATTTAAACCCTCCCATAGTGTGTGATTATTATATAACTCACCATGCCCATATAGCCATGTGACCTACAGCCATCACTTCGTATCTGTCACAAGTTCATCATCTATTCCGAATCCACCTTGCGACACACATTAGAAAAATCAAATTAGAAATTGTTATGAAATATACAATTTTCAAAACAGGTTAAAATGATGAATTCATATAGTATTGGCATCATTCAAATTACCTTAACAATATTTAAAGTTTAAGTAAGTTTGTGAAAAATTATTATGCATATAAAATTACACAGTTTCTTAATGTTCCAACAAGTTAATTTGAATAATATATGTCAGGTCCTAATTAAATAGTTCTCAACTGGCTGAAACACATGATTCACATATGGCCACCAAAGGCAATCTTTTGTTCTAATTGGCCAATTTAAAAATAAATCCTCTCCTCTGAAACTTCAAGGCCAAATGTTTAGATACTAGACCCTCTACAAATAGCTCTCATGTAATGTTGATTGGATTGCCAACAAATGACATTGGTGGCACATAGTTTTCATTAAGAATTGCATGTTCATCTTCTTCTCTGAAACTACTTAGTTGATTTTCAAACATTGCATGAATGATTTTTGAAAGGTCCTCAACAAAACATCCTACTTAGAGATTAAAACTTAGCTGCCAGAAACAATGTTTGATTCTGATTGGTTAACAGTGTTCCAGCTAGGTCGTTTTCACAGGGCGGTCCGCCCGCCCTTTCCCAAGTGCCACCCTGTGCCCTTTTTACAGTTTGCAGGGCGCCCTGCCTTTTTTGAAGATCGATTGGTATATTATTTTGTTCGTATTGATATGATCAGCCAATTACGAAAATTTACTTGGCGACAAGTATATGACTTTGTTTACGTTTCCAAGCTAATCAACGCGGTTACAACAGGTGTCATAATCTGTTGTTATAGGTAATCCGTTTATCGGATGGGTCATTTAATGATCATCAACATTAATTCATTCAAATATAATCAGTCAGTCGGCACTTGTCTTTGAACTTGAAGAAATGTTCCATACAACTTGGGCACAATTAGCAATGTTTACCGTAGTTTCATGGAGAAAACGTAATTGACAGAAAGTCGAAAACCATAATCAACTCGTTAAAAACATTGCTCTTATTGTTTTCCGTGAAATAAATAGCAAATTAAGACGTATTTTTCATTGACTGCCTTCATTTTTTATACGAAAATAACAAAATCGGCCGCCATATTGTTGATCGTATTTACATCTTCTACATTTTACGTACTGTTTATTATCCTCCAAAGAAGGAGCACACCCAAATAAAGAAAGATAACTCAATCTTATTTTTTCCTAGCATTGAGTTACCTACTAAGATATTATAAAATATGTCTTCAAACTTCTGGCTTTAGAATTTATATGTTTAGGTGTTTTGAGTTATGGGAAAAGTTAAAGAGGGTCTTAGTAGCAGGGTTGGTAGGGTGCCTTGGTAATCTTTTTCTGTATTTTTTATTTTCAATCCAAATTTTCACTGTTCACTATATCCTAACATTGTGCATTTACAGCTGTTTTGTGCTGTATTGCCATTAAGCACAGAAAAGGTAGAAAGGTGAAACTTGTAAAGTGTGTCAAACCATAGCAACAGAATGAAGCAGGACATTTTTCAAAAAATACTGCATATAAAGCTTAACTGTGCCAAGCAATGATTTAAAACCGTTGTGTCACAAGCTGATTGATAAGTTTTCAGCCTAAAAAGTATAAAGATAGTTTTTCTCTGGGCTAATGATGTTGTTCTTGTATATTTATAACCAGTGATTCAATGAACAAACAATGTTTGATTATAATCTTTATTAAAACATGCCCTTTTCATATTATCATATCACGCGTTAAATGCCCTTTTTCAGGATTGGCACCCTGCCCTTTTGAAATCCTAGCTGGAACACTGGTTAACTTTTTAAAAATCTTTTCTAATCTTGTATCTGCATGGGACTCTTAAAAGATTTTTTTCAGTTGGTGGGCCAATTGTTTTTTTTTTCAAATTTTATTTGATGAATACACAGTAAGCCTTGATATAGGAAACCTCTGGTCAAACTGTTTTAAATGAAGTTTCAAAAGAATTTCTCTGCATTTTAAGCACTTCAGCTTCCAAAGCACCATGCTCTTTTTAACGTCTTATAGGAACATAAGTCTGTGTTATGAATAGATACCAGGTGAGCAATTCAGATTTCTATAATCCTCTAGTAAGTAATCGTTCTGTTGTTTGTTTGTTCTCTATATAGATCAAAGTTTAATTATGACATATAACTTACTTGCCATTTTATGATTTTGTTATTGCAATCTCATAAAAAAAAGGCAGCCAATCCTGATAATGACTCACACTAAGAACATATTGTTTTGCAGACAACTGAATAACATTTAAAGTTTTTATTCATTTTGTGTAAAAAAACCTTTATAGTCTACTTTTGTGTTTGGATAATAAAAAATTCGTAAGGGTTCCGCGGAACCCAGTGTCTCGCCTACTTTTGCTGTTAATCGCAGGCTCAACAAAAATGAGGAAAAAAATTAATAAAAATATTCCTCTCTATACTATCTTTTGATTGTAAGTAGCTTCTTTCCAAGTTTGGTAAAAATCCAGGATAGTTTATGAATCTAATAAATGTTTTAAAAACTTAAACTGCAGACTGTATGTAATGTTAACTGGAAGAAAAACAAAGTCCATTTATAAGTAAAAAACGGAAAAAGTGGAACAAAATTTTAACAAATTTTCCTTCTAGATACTAGCTTTTAATCATAAACAAGCCACAGTCCAAGTTTGGTACAAATCCAGGATAGTTTAAGAAAGTTGTTAAAATTTAAAAAAACTTTAACCACAGAGTGAATGTAATGTAAACTGGCAGAAAAACTAAGTCCATTTATAAGTTAAATAAGGAAAAAATGGATTTTTTTTTACAAATTTTACTTCTGGATACTATCTTATGATCATAAACAAGCTTCTGTCCAAGTTTGGTAAAAATCCAGGATAGTTTAAGAAAGTTGTTAAAATTTTAAAAACTTTAACCACAGAGTGAATGTAATGTTAACTGGCAGAAAAACTAAGTCCATTTATAAGTAAAATACGGAAAAAATGGAATTTTTTTTTTACAAAATTTACTTCTGGATACTATCTTATGATCATAAACAAGCTTCTTTCCAAGTTTGGTAGAAATCCAGGATAGTTTAAGAAAGTTATTAAAATTATGAAAACTTTAACCACAGAGTGAATGTAATGTTTCCTGGCAGAAAAACTAAGTCCATTTATAAGTAAAATACGGAAAAAATGGATTTTTTTTTTTACAAAATTTACTTCTGGATACTATCTTATGATCATAAACAAGCTTCTTTCCAAGTTTGGTAGAAATCCAGGATAGTTTAAGAAAGTTATTAAAATTTCAAAAACTTTAACCACAGAGTGACTAATTGTGGACGCCGCCGACGATGACACCGACGCCGACGGAATGTAGGATCGCTATGTCTCGCTTTTTCGACAAAAGTCGAAGGCTCGACAAAAATGAGTTCTCTTGGTTTCTTGTTGATTTACTTTATATAAATATATTGAAGTCTATAAAAGGACCAACCAGCAAATTTAATATGTACCGGATCGTCTAGAATAGACAATACTGTGCAGATAAGGAAAAATTATATAAGTCTAAAGATTTGCACAACAGTACTTATATAAGATGGTAATATGAAGATGATGTTATAAAATCGTGTTCAAATATTTCGGCTAAACAAATAGCCTTCGTCAATGCCAATAATTTTAACAATACTGATATTTGTCAACATGATTTTATAACATCATCTTCGTATATTACCATCTTATATTAGTACCGTTGTGCAAATCTTTAGACTTATATATATATATATATATATATAAGGGACGACATCAAAAGTTCGATGTAGGATAAAAACTTAATTCACATAGTTTTTTCACTGACCCCCCCACCCCCCATCTTAATTTGGGAAAAATTGATTGACCAATATGGGCATATGCTTTCAGAGTATACTTTTTGTATCATGGGTCCTGTTTTTCCTCAAAAATGTATGTTTGTTCTGTATATTGACTTGGACATCACTTTTAAAAAATATTGGAAAAAAGTGTATTTGTAGTATGCATCAAAAAAGGCACTGTTAAATTATAATTTTATAAACACTACAGTCAGAATGGATTCTGCGTTTTTCATCTGCCCATTATTGGCATGTATAAATAGTGGGTTTATGTTTTTGATGGTTTTTGTTTCTTTTCTCAAATGAATATAAAACAGTTCATTGTTTCATATAAAATATATAGCTTTTAACTAAATAGTGGTCCATTGAAATGTAAGGTGATGACAGGGCAGTGCATTTGTGCCAACTGTGGAGAGAGGGAAAAGCACAATCCCAAATGAATGTAGCGAATGTGATATGATCTATGTAATTTCTATTCAATGTCTGTTGACCACTGTCATATTTTTCTACTATCTCAAAAAATTCTATATAACTTTCAAATTTGTATTTGAATTTATATTTCAGTTTTCATTTGAATAATTAAATAATTAACACAATTCAAAGAAAATTTTATAGTTTGTTTTTAGAATGCCATCATGCCGTGTGGACCAAAAAAATCTGTGTTGATCTGTGTTGATCTGTATATGGTTTCATATCATTCAAAATTCATTATCAATAAAGTGTTTGAACGACATAGATACTATGATTAATTTCGCCCCAATACTTTCGGACAAAAAATTGCTTTCCGGTACGATTTGATGGCATTCATTTATTTAAAAGTCCAAACATATGTTAGGGCCAAACTTGAATCCGTATTTTTCAATCCGAAAATCGATGTCGGATAACAAAACTTGCAGCAATTTTTACCCCCCACCCCCAAACTATTTGAATTAAGTTTTTTATCCGACATCAATCTTTTGATGTCATCCCTAAATGCCTAAAAAGTGTACAAAACAAAACCAATATTAAAAAAAAGGAAACATTAAATGTAAGTATCTATAAATATTTCTGATAACAGATATCCTTCATCAGTATGATTATGATGTAATAATCATAATCATACTGATGAAGGATATCTGTTGTCCGAAATCTTTATAGATACATACATTTAATGTTTCCTATTTTTTAAAATATTGGTGTTGTTTTATACACTTTTTAGGTGTTTATATAATTATTTGTCCCTGAATGGTATATTCTTTCCCTGCTATCTATATAGATAGTCTAGTTGGTCGAGTGGAATTTACAATATATATATATGAGTTAATACTAAAGTGTATATTATCCCAGCACATCAAAAAGTATATAAAAATGATGAATTATTTTAACATTTAATTTAAGGTACCCCACAAAATAGCAGAGAGAAGGACAGGTGATATAGCATCATGTTATAGTAAACCAGACTTGGCTGCTAAGGAATTAGGATGGAAGGCAACCCGAGGTTTAGATGAAATGTGTAAGTAGATATGAAGAAGAATATAGATGAAGGAAGACTTCACCAATATATGTAACTTATTGATTGCTCCATTATTTGCTTATTAAAAAGTAAAATCACAAAAATACTGAACTCCGAGGAAAATTCAAAAAGGAAAGTCCCTAATCAAATGGCAAAACCAAAAGCTCAAACACTCCAAACGAATGGATAACAACTGTCATACTCCTGACTTGGTACAGGCATTTTCTTATGTAGAAAATGGTGGATTGAACCTGGTTTTATAGCTAGCTAAACCTCTCACTTGTATGACAGTCGCATCAAATTCTGTTATATTGACAACGATGCGTGAACAAAACAAACAGACACAATAGGTAAAAATGTCAAAAATAGGGGTACAGCAGTCAACATTGTGTTATCATCTTAATCACTATAAAACAAACAAATGTAACGAAGAAGCACAAAAAGGCATACATCAAATTTAACATCCTCATTTTGCTTTTTTATAATACAATTTTATTTATCTATGTAAAATCCATCCATAAAGGATGGAAGGTTTTAAGTACTGGCGTAAAATTGGGCATTTGAAATTCACACAGGTAGACATAAAATAATTTTGTAGTTCAAAGTATGACGGGATACATTAGTACACAGTCATGTCAAATGGATATCACAAAAAACAGACTTAACAGTAAAAGTAATATTAATAAATAAAATAATATTGTCGTTCAAAGTATGACGGGATACATACTTACAGAGTCACGTCAAATGAATATCTCAAAAAACAAAGATATGTCAAAGACCTATGTAGCAGTTATTGATGATTTTCAAAGAGCCTCCGTCAAGTCAATCCTATGCTTGTCTTTATCTTGCTGTAAGAGATGAGCTCTTTAGTTTATTGTTGAAGACCATCTAGTAACTGTCAAGATTAAGAACAACAATAAAAGCTCTTTGATATTTGTCCTTTCCTTACCTATTTTCAGGCCATACATTTGAAATACATAAACAGAAGATTGCTTTAAACTTTAACTGTTGCAATTTTGATTTTAATCTGTTTAGTTCAATTTGTATTTTAGAAAGAGGGCTGTTTAAACATTTGTTATTATTGATTAAAAAAATTAAGCTAAACAGCTTGCTTCATGTACCAATAAGTTTTCATTAGTATTATTATTTGAGTTTCACATGAGTTATTTTAATTTCAACATTTGATATTTTTTTTAAATGGCTTGTCATAAATTAAAGTAACTAACCACTTGCAAAAAGAATTGGCTAATATTTACATTAATTTGGTCATAGCACATTCTACGGAAATTTCATATGATCTTATGTCTCAGTTTACAGTTTTTATGTTATCTTACATTACGATGACATACCACATCTTGTTTTGCACCTTCTTTTTTTCTTTGATTAGATTGATTGTTGATTGCTTGCATGCTTTATGTCTATTGGCAACTGTTTCATGCATCTTCAAGACAAGAAAAAAATGACAATTTAAACAAAAGGTAGTTTCTGCAAGGTGGGACAACCAGGATGAAGGGTCAGAAATTTATACTTCAGTTGTAAATGAGGGTATGTTGGATAGGGGCAGAAAGTTAACCTTGCAACAGACCACCTACAGACCCCTCATAGAATGGCTGGAAGGGGTTTTAAACCTACAGCAAGCATGGCCCTCTCTCTACACCAGGCATCAGTTTGATTACTACAATAATGTAATGATATATATTTTTCTTTCCAGGTGAAGACTTATGGAGGTGGCAAACTATGAATCCTGATGGTTTCAATTCAAACGGACCTAAAAGTTAACAGATATATTTCTAAGCAAATCCTAGGCAGCTAGGCTAATTATCTGTGATCAAAAGGGGAATGATTTCTCATGTAGACTGGGTATAATTTGGTATTAATTTAATGGTTAGTGTTCTGTGAAATTACAAATAAATCAGTATATCTTGAGGGGATCAAATGTAGAATATCTATAATAAGTATAATCATATGTAACCTGGGAAGCTTTGTAGTAATCATAGTTGTGGACAAAAGGAATCTTAATTTGTGATTGAAAAAATTAAATGATTTTCTTATAAAAATGATATCAGCATTATATTTAATAATTGTGAAAGTATTATTATTCATTTTTTAGCTCACCTGGCCCAAAGGGCCACGTGAGCTTTTCTCATCACTTCATCAAATTTGACCAAACTTGGCCACAATCATCATTGGGGTATCTAGTTTAAAAAATGTGTCCGGTGACCCGGCCAACCAACCAAGATGGCCGCCATGGCTTAAAATAGAACATAGGGTTAAAATGTAGATTTTGGCTTATATCTCTGAAACCAAAGCATTTAGAGCAAATCTGACATATGGGGTAAAATTATTTATCAGGTCAAGATCTATCTGCCCTGAAATTTTCAGATGAATCGGTTGTTGGGTTGCTGCCCCTGAATTGGTAATTTTAAGAAAATTTTGCAGCTTTTGGTTATTATCTTGAATATTATTATAGATAGAGATAAACTGTAAACAGCAATAATGTACAGCAAAGTAAGATCTACAAATAAGTCAACATGACCAAAATTGTCAATTGACCCCTTAAGGAGTTATTGCCCTTTATAGTCAATTTTTTACAATTTTCATAAATTTTGTAAATTTTTACAAAATATTTTCCACTGCAACTACTGGGCCAAGTTCATTATAGATAGAGATAATTGTTCAGTAAAGTAAGATCTACAAACACATCACCATCACCAAAACACAATTTTGTCATGAATCCATCTGTGTCCTTTGTTTAATATGCACATAGACCAAGGTGAGCGACACAGGCTCTTTAGAGCCTCTAATTTTATTTTATTATTCCCCCACCCGATAGCTGTCAACTGACCCGTATTCTGTGGGTCCCACCCGAGAATTTCCCCCTCACACTGGATTTTTTAAATGCCCAGCCGGGTATTCAAATAACCCGGGATTTCAGAAAATGACCTGTTTTCACCCGTATTTCTGACCGATATTGTTTCCGGTATTTAGAAGTCAAATATACTTTCGGTTTTCGTGTTTGTCCTTTGAAAAGGTAAACAATTGAAATTAGAATTTGCTTATTTACCATGCCAATGAAAGCTATCAAAACATTACATTTGATTGAAAAGTAACAATTCGAGGATTGTTTGTTAATTGTACCCCATAAAGTTGAATCCAGTCAAGCTTGACATACAATTCTATGTCCTGATTAAAAGATTTACCGTTTGCAAATATCCGCAATCCTGTAAAAATCATTCTAAAACAATTTGAACCTTTTAATACATTTCTGTTGGAGAGAATAATTTTGTTATCACTTAAATGTAAAAGCTTTAAATCAAATCCATATGCTCTAGATATTACACTGAAAGGAAACACACCAACTTCTTTCTATTTATCTTCCTCCTGTGTATAGGAGCTAGCACATTAGCTATAATTGATTTCTAATTACATGTATAGCTGGGGTTTATGACATTCATTAATAAAAAGAAGTAAACTAGTGTGAATAAAACAATAAAAGGGCATTGCTTTAGAAAGATATTTAATTAATGATAAATATTTATATACTTAACAAATACAAAGTAATTATTTTTAGGAAACTCAGTGGTACATGTATAAGTTAAAGTATATAAAAAAAAACTCTCAACACTAAAATTGGACAGAAAAAGTTCGTACGGGTTATGACCTGACATTTTTTTCTTCAATGCAGGTCATGACCTGCATTTTCAGTTTCAGAGGTTGACAGGTATGCCCCACCCTAGGAGTGGGTTAAATTGCAAACACCTTGTCATCTGTTTGTCCAACACAAATATTTTCCTTACACATTTCTTAGGATGGAACTTATAAAAATAATAGTTTTAACTGTCGAATTTTTCAATATGGTGAATGAACTAAATATTTTGTTCACACATTTCTCCAGTAATGCTTAACAGAATGACGTCATATTTAGCTAGCTGCTTGACAGTAATGAGTTGTAATATGTGAGCACTTTTCGGATCTGTTAGACATCTACTTTCTGTTTGCCGATACTTTTGAATTACAAGTAGCAGTAAGCTTAGCATAATTAAAAAAATATATAATGAAGTCTAAAGGTGAAGAATTGGGGAAACATTTGTATTCATTTGAGAAGAATACCATATTTGGGCATAATTTCAATTATGTGGAGGTTATTTCCCATTAAACAAAAAATCAAAGAATAAGTTAAAATTTTATTTGAAGTTGATAAAAAGGTTATTATCTTTTGACATCAGCAAATATAATTGGATGTGAATGTCTTAGTAATTTTCAGATAAAAGGCCTGTTCCAGTATTGTGACCACAACTGATCCATTTTTTTTATTTCGGTATACTTTGGACCAAATCTTACACCTGCAGCCCTTGCCCTTTTTAGTTTTATTTACCTAGATGAAATACATTTCATGTTCATTTGTATTGTGCCAAATATTTTGCACTTCAAGAAAAGAGTCAAGTTGACATCTACGAATAATAATACTTTTTTTTATTAAACATGTATGTATTAATTAAGTGCTTCCTTAACTTATTATATTCCTTTTGTGGCCAATGTTTACACACTTATTATATTTCATTTACATTTATTAACCATGATTTATGTATTGAGGTTTGTACACATAATATTGTTCTGTAAACTAATTTTAATGTGACAGAAATATGGGATGTAATTTGTTCATATGTAAATGTATTCAAATACTAGTCTAAATCAACCTGGCTTTGTCTCATGCTTGATGACAATCAGTGAATGTATGTTTTTTTCTTTGTATAGTCCCTTTTTTATTAATTTGGTGTTCATGTGTCCTATCCTTTGTTATAAGACACTTCAATCCCTCTGTACATTTTTTATTTCAAAATATCTGTTATTGAATAGATATTTATGAATTTTTTTTCATTTCCTCTATAAATTTTTGATTTCATAATCAAGACTAATATAACAGAACTGATGTTTTAAAACTTGTGTAATCTGGCTCTCTCCATCTTAAACTTTGGACAAGCCTAACATCCACAAATCCTTCTGTTTCAGAAAGGAAGAAAGATGACAATAGGTTCTGTAAATGCTATTCAGCTATTGTAATCATGGCTCATTTCAGGGTATGCCAAACATCAGATTATTTAGGTATTGTATTTACCCCTTGATTTAAATCTGTATGTGGATTTATGAGGAGAGAATTAGGCAATGGTCTGTCAATACTATATTATATTTCAGTTGTTCTTCCCATGATAATTTTGTTTGATTGTAGATAGTACAGTAGCAATTTGTACTGTTTTCATGCTCCCAAAAGAACAAAAATCAAAATTTTGGAAACTGAATTAATAAAGCAATTCATATCATAAAAATCAGATAAAAGTAGAAAAAAATATTTTGTGACAAACAAAACAAATGGATTATTTTGAAATTATTAATTTGTCAGTATACTGAGTTTAATTTGATAATGATTGTTTGTTTGTTTGAAGTCAGAACTTTATTCCAAACAATTTTCAATTTCTATAGATTAAATAACCTGCCAATAGCTATATCTTTAGTTTTTTTTTAAACAAAAGAAAATTTAGTTTTGATAATTCTACACTAATTCTAACCAATAGTACTATTTTAAAAGGTTTCATAAAATTAATATAACAAATATATACATATATATATGAAAACTTGACAATAAACAAACATTGTTTACCATCTGTTAGAATTATTTGTAACGGACGAACAACATGTCACAACGAAAAAATCATTATTCTTTATTTACATATTAAAAAGAATGACTGAAAATTTCAAAAACTTTATTATTATGACCATGCTGACTTGTCAGAGGTGCCCTTTTATATTCACTCTTTCTGTTTTTCAGTGCTTTTACGTCATAGGATAAGTCAAGATTGCCTCAGTTGATTGTCCTAATATTTATGAATAGTGTTACTACCTATAAAAGGTGAAATGTGTTAAAAACTTAGTTATTTGTTATAAAATTTTGAGACACCTCTTTTGTTGCTTAAATATCACCAAAAATTGGTATACAGCAGTGTGTGAACCCATGTTATGTAATTGCTAGCATATTGCTAATTTGAATAATGAATATGTCACCAGATTCGTTGTTAATTTGAAGTAAAATCAGATTTCATTATTTTTTAGTTTTTATTTTAATTAGATGAAAAAAAATTGTTATTGGTTGTTGAAATGAATTTTGAACTACAATCAGGTAATCTTTCAAATATTCATTAGTTTGTGATCACATCAACTTGAAACTTCGTACACATGTTCATTACGAAGTGAACTTTTTGATATATATATATGTATATGCAAAATTAGGGATGTGACGAAGATTTCAGAGTTCACTGAACAATGAAAAAAGATAGTGTAAACGAGTATGATGCCCTGTTGACACATATTCATGATTTTTTTTTCAATTTTGTGCATTCAAAAGCTAGATATTTTAAAAGCTGTCCTTTTATGTGCCCTTCCAAAGATAAATTTGTCACTTTATATTTACAATACTATGAAGTATTTTTGGGCAAACTTCACATATTTACCCATTATTCTAATGCTTATTTTATTTATTTTTCGATATTTCATTTCTAAATGTCAGATATAGCCTTTAATACACCAGCTCTATTACATCATTACACAAGCTATGATTTAATAAATTATATAAATGTAGATAGGAAAAAAGTGAAAATAAGTGGCATGTGTGTTCAACTTTGAACATTCAACGTTCAATCTTAATTAGCTAGGATTGCCAATTTTTCTGCTGAAGGTCAGTGGTATTCCTCTTGGCTTGTCGGCTTCTTCCACTAATAAAAAATGACCACCACGATATAGCCAATAGTGCTGAAAGTGGCATTAAACACAAATCAATCAATCAATTAAAGAATATTTTTACATTTTTTGTGTTTATATTTTTAAGAATTAAAAGTTTTATGTATTATGAAATGTTGTTATTGATTTAACAGTTTTGTTTTGAATGACCACCAAGTTATGCAATGTCATTATTTTATATGGATATATTGTTATTATAGTATATGGAGACATTGTGTTATTGTATAGTAAAGGGATACTATATTTCTGCTACATTTTCTGTTGGTGTACTTGTACTTAAATATGTAATACAATAAAGAAATTTCCAATGAACAAATAAAAGCTTTCATTGGGCTGGACATTTCTATTTCAGGTGCATAAGTGATAACGTTCTTTAATATAGATTACAATATTTAAAATTTGGAATTAACCCAGAAACTTAATAAGTTTTATTCAATATTATTTTTTTATGGTAATCTCAAGTAGGAAGTTAGATATGTTTTTATAATCCTGTCATAGACTGGAGGTATTATGGTATACTGTTTATAATCCTGTCATAGACTGGAGGTATTATGGTATACTGTTTATAATCCTGTCATAGACTGGAGGTATTATGGTATACTGTTTATAATTCTGTCATAGACTGGAGGTATTATGGTATACTGTTTATAATCCTGTCATAGACTGGAGGTATTATGGTATACTGTTTATAATCCTGTCATAGACTGGAGGTATTATGGTATACTGTTTATAATCCTGTCATAGACTGGAGGTATTATGGTATACTGTTTATAATTCTGTCATAGACTGGAGGTATTATGGTATACTGTTTATAATCCTGTCATAGACTGGAGGTATTATGGTATACTGTTTATAATCCTGTCATAGACTGGAGATATTATGGTATACTGTTTATAATCCTGTCATAGACTGGAGGTATTATGGTATACTGTTTATAATTCTGTCATAGACTGGAGGTATTATGGTATACTGTTTATAATCCTGTCATAGACTGGAGGTATTATGGTATACTGTTTATAATTCTGTCATAGACTGGAGGTATTATGGTATACTGTTTATAATCCTGTCATAGACTGGAGGTATTATGGTATACTGTTTATAATCCTGTCATAGACTGGAGGTATTATGGTATACTGTTTATAATCAATAATATATAATAAATAATCATAATCATATTATGTTGCTATTAAGGGTGTTTGCTACCAGGTTTTTAAATTATCTTCTATAGTTTGTAGTCCTTCTCAGATTTTCTTAAGATATACATTAACATTTTTAGCTCTGTAACACCTATATTTGTTAATATTTCTTTAAATCTTCCTTTTCAAATACACTTCTGGTCAAATATTTGGAAATCTTGTTATTTCAAATATTTTTTTCGTGCAGTTTAATGTTCATTTTATCCCTTTGATTTCATAGGAAAAATCAAAAGATATATTTTTTTGCCAAAAATTTTAATTTTGCAAATGATTGTATCACAAAAACAAGTACACTGACATACATAAATTTTCCATTATATTTACCTGTATTTATTATATAATGAAAAAAAAAATCATTTATGAACATGTTATAATTATTTTTATTTGAGCAGCAAACACCTTACTAATTGTTTTTAGTTTACTATTAAAATATTACAACTATAAAATGTTTGTTCAGGAGAAATTTTGCTTTACAATGAAAGAATATTTTAAGGTACAGATTCTAATAAAAATCATTAATAATTGGTTTCTTATTAATTGAAACTTAAGTAGTTTGGACTGCTACAACTCATTAGTTTGACCTTTGCACTGTATTTTCCTTCATTGTATTGGACCATAATATTTTAAACTATCACATTATATATTTAAGCCTACCTAGATGTGAGAGTTTGTTTAGTTATGGTTATGTCCAGTCATGTGTTTATTTGCATGTTCGTCCATCTCCTCTTTATATCTGCAAATCTTTGGTATTAAATGGTTTTTGTGAACCTCCAATGTTTCCCCCTGAATAAATGTGGGGTTTCCTTGAAAGGAAAACATCAATTTGTTTTGTAATACTTACACAAATTGTGGAGTAGGAGTATGCTTTTTTGTCTCGCCTGCGACTTTTTTATGCTCCCGTAGTAGCGGAGGGGGCATTAAGTTTTACCCTTGTCCGTCTGTACATACGTCCCAAAATTGGTTTCTGTTCTCTAACTTGAGTTTGCGTCAACTGAATGTTATGAAACTTATACACAATGCTAATTACCACAAAATACAGATCAAGTTTGAATTTTGGTGGTGTCACTTTAACCGTTCTAGAGTTATGCCCCTTTATAAATGGAAAAATTGCAAAATTTTTAGTTTCCGTTCTCCAACTTAAGTTTGCCTATACCAAATGTTATGAAACTTATACACAATGCTTTTTACCACAAAATACAGATCAAGATTGAATTTTGGTGGTGTCACTCTAACCGTTCTAGAGTTATGCCCTTCATAAATGGAAAAATTGCAAAATGTTTAGTTTACGTTCTCTAACTTAAGTTTGCCTCAACCAAATTTTATGAAACATATACACAATGCTTATTACCACAAAAAAAAGATCAAGATTGAATTTTGGTGGGGTCACTTTAACCATTCTCGAGTTATGCCCCTTTATAAATGGATAAAAAATGCAAAATTTTTAGTTTCCGTTCTCTGACTTAAGTTGCCTCAACCAAATGTTATGAAATTTATACACAATGCTTTTTACCACAAAACACAGGTCAAGTTGAATTTTGGTAGGGTTACTTTAATCATTATCGAGTTATGCCCCTTTATAAATAAAAAAATTGCAAAATTTTTAGTTTCCGTTCTGTAACTTAAGTTTGCACCAACCAAACATTATGAAACCTATACACAATACTTCTTACCTTAAAACTCAGATCAAGTACAAATTTGGTTAGCGTCACTTTTATAGTTCTGGAGTTATGTCCCTTTATAATGTTGTATGCAAGTGGGGGCATCATCTGTCCATGGGGACTCATTCTCCATTTATTAGAAGAATGTAAGACATAGGGATTACAATCCAGCGGCCAGGTTGACAGTGTAAACTCTTTGAATAAAGTTATATATTTTAGAAGACCAGAATACTTCATACCTTGTTTGCAGATGCCTTATGTTACAGAGTTTCCTACTGTCATGTGTCCATTGTCCTTGACCTCATTTTCATGGTTCAGCGACTGCTTGAAAAACATTTAGAGTTTTTTTGTCATGTGAAATACTCACTTATTATGAGTAATAGGATAACTATATTTGGTATATGGGATCCTTGCAAGGTCTACATGTCTGTCAGACAGGATTCACCTGACCTTGACCTCATTTTAGGGATCAGTGATCAAGGTTAAGTTATCATGGTCAATGTCTGTTTGGGTTACTCTCCAAATTTTGTCAATAAAACAGAAGTTGAAACTACTGTCATACAAGTGGGAGGTTTAGCTAGCTATAAAACCAGGTTTAACCCGCCATTTTCTTTGGAAAATGGCTGTACTAAGTCTGGAATATGACTTTTGTTTTCCACTCGATCAGTTGGGTGAAAACGTTTGATTTCGTCAGTTTTAATGAACTTCCCCTTTTTGGATTTGCCTTGGAGTTCAATATTTTTTTATACTTTTTTGGTCTATTCCTCAGATACTTTTAGCAATAGATCAGCTGTATTTGGTGTAAGGAATGATTGTCAGGTCTACATGTCTGTCTGGCAGGTTTCATTTAACCTTGACATCATTTATTGGTTCATTGGACAATGTTAAGTTTTTTCAGGTTTGGTCTATTTCTCAGATACTATAAGCAATAGGTCAACTATTTTTGGTGTAAGGAATAATTGCATGGTGTGCATGTCGTCTTGTAGGGTTCATCTGACCTTGACATCATTTTTATGGTTCATTGATCAATGTTATTGAATAGGGCCACTATATTTGGTGAATGGAATGATTGTTAGGTGAACATGTCTGTCTGGCAGGGTTCATCTGATATTGGTCTCATTTTCATGGTTCATTAGTCAATGTTTAGTTTAAATGGTTATGTCTGTTTCCCAGATACTATAAGCAATAGGTCAACTACTAGTATGTTTGGTGTAAGGAATAATTGCATGGTGTGCATGTTGTCTGGCAGGGTTCATTTGATCTTGACCTCATTATAATGGTTCATTGATCAATGTTCAATTTTCGTAGTTAGGTTTGTTTCTCAGATACTTTAAGCAATAGGCTAACTATATTTGGTGTATGGTACGAAATGTGAGACATTTCAACTCTTGTTTTCCCCAGCTGACAGTTTTTGATGGTTTAAATTATTTACTATTTAGGTCATTAAAGTTATATTATAAGCTATACACGGAAGTCTATTTATATTTACCGAAGATTCTAAGGTTAGCTTTGTTAAACAGTGAAAAAAAATAAAATGGGAGTTATATTTGCAAAAGCTAGATTAATATTCAAAATACCCCATAAATATCAACGTAAATCAAAAAACATTTTTAATCTTTCTAGAATTAATGTTGAAGTGAGAGCCATGTAGAGAGAAAAATCCTACCTGCCACGACTGTTGGTTAACAGTATTATCCCAACAGCTGTAGCAAGGGTATCTGAAACATCACTTTGCATGAGATAAGTGATAATATATTTGTAAGGTGGACTTCCACCTCTTATTAAATATTTATTTGGTCCACAATACCTGACAGTACAGGTATATCTTGTGAAATACGTGAAAAGAGTAGGTCAATTATTAGCAGATTTTAAAAATTGACAGCTGCAAGAGGGACGAAAGATACCAGAGGGATATTCAAACTCATAGATCGAAAACAATTGACAACGCCATGGCCAAAAATAAAAAAGACAAACAGACAAATAACAGTACAGATGACACAACATAGAAAACTAAAGTCTAAGCAACACGAACCCCACCGAAAACTGGGGGTGATCTCGGGTGCTCCGGAAGGGTAAGCAGATCCTGCTCCACGTGTGGCACCCGTCGTTTGTGCAAAGTGTTCATAAACAAGACTGTATCATAGATTAAAGAGACTACAAGTCAATTGTTTCAGGGATAATAAAGGGTAAGTCTCTAGTGGTAGTCTATACAACTGTTTCCTGTCTCATTCTGGGTGAAAATCTTAAGTGATTGATAGATATCTGTTTGTTTAAAGTCTATTAAAAAATGACAAAAAATAAACCCGTTTCATAAAAGCACTTGAATAATTGTCAATTTTCTTATTACAGTTATTTACTAAATACTGATTTTCATTTTAGGGGTTTTTGATTTTTTATCAACTATCATTTTCCATTTAAAGTCGAATGGACCGACTGCACATTGAAGGTGTTACTCAATTTTCAGTTAAAGAACATTCTTTATAATGGTTGCAGATGTTCACAACAATCATACGAAGACAAAAACAAATGTAATTATATGTGGTCAAAAGGTCGTACAACGAAAAAAAAAGAGCTGGAAATAAAACGACATAACAAAACAATGACTTTTATGTAAACGTCCTCCGCCAGTTGTGTATGTATTTATTGATAGCACCATAAAAGTATCAAGAGCTTCATAGCAATTATCGAGAAATACCAAAGAGCATCGGTGTAGCTTTATATTAAAGAGTACCGGTAAAATCGAAGTTGTCCGTTAATATCACAGAAGTAAAGCTTTCGGTACATACTAAAGAGTACTGGTAGGTTCATGGCTGTCAGTATTGTCAAAGACTGTCGATTATTTTAAAGCTGTCAATAATAATCAGACTATCGGTAAGTTAAAAAGAGCACAGGAATGTTCAATGCTGTCAGTATTGTCAAAGATTGTCGATTATTTTAAAGCTGTCAATAATAATCAGACTATCGGTAAGTTTTAAGCTATCAGTAAGTGAAAAAGAGCACAGGAATGTTCAATGCTGTCAGCAACAATTAAATAGTTCAGGTTAGTTCAATGCTGTCAGTAAATATTAAATAGTACGGGTTAGTTCAATGCTGTCATTAAATATTAAATAGTTCAGGGTAATTCAATGCTGTCAGTAAGTATTAAATAGTTCAAATTAATACAATGCTGTCAGTAAATATTAAATAGTACAGGTTAGTTCAATGCTGTCAGTAAATATAAAATATTCAGGTGGGTTCAATGCTTTCATTAAATAATAAATAGTACAGGTTAGTTCAATGCTGTCAGTTTATATTACATATGTCAGGTTAATTCAATGCTGTCAGTAAATATTAAACAGTACAGGTTAATTCAATGCTGTCTGAAAGTTTCAAAGACAATTGACATTTGTCTTCATTCTCTTTTCGACATTGTACAAGTTTTACTGAAATAATCTAAATGTGTAGCGTTTGAAATCAGTCATTTTTATGCTAGCAGATTCTACAAAAATGATCAGTTTTAAAACTCCAACATAGAGAGGAACATTATTCATTGTGTTGTATTGGGTATCAAGGATAGGCCGGATATGCTGGGATATTGATATGATATAAAAGTGTATAACGCGCAACATTGTTTACTGAATGTGACGAAAACTTTTTTTGGCAAAAAGAAATATGATCATCTAAAATAATGAAAACATGCCATTACACAATGTCATAAATAGAAAAAGCTCGTCGTCATATATCAAAAAGCTATTACTTGTTGTTGCTGGGTAAAATCTGACAGCGGCAGACGGTAGGACATATAGAGGAAATATAAAAAAAAAATGGTTAAAATGCCTTTTCCTGTTCTTTAAAAAAATATTGTCATGTAAGTATTTACAACAATTGAATCAAAGCAATTAAATTGTTGAAATGCGTTTACTGAAAATATTATCATTTTTATAGTAGCAGATGGCCTTTGTCGAAAGAACTAAACATATTTTTTAAAAACTTCTCGTAAATTTATCGATTCTACGTCCTTATTTGATTTTATTTCGTCAAAGAACGATTTACAGTTTGGTTTACACTTTATTTTTATTTCAGTAATACATTGTATATAAAATTGAGAATGGAAATGGGGAATGTGTCAAAGAGACAACAACCCGACCATAGAACAGACAACAGCAGAAGGTCACCAACAGGTCTTCAATGCAGCGAGAAATTCATGGCTGTCCTTCAGCTGGCCCCTAAACAAATATATATACTAGTTCAGTGATAATGAACGCCATACTAAACTCCAAATTGTACACAAGAAACTAAAATTAAAAATAATACAAGACTGACAAAGGCTAGAGGCTCCTGACTTGGGACAGGTTCAAAAATGCGGCGGGGTTAAACATGTTTATGAGATCTCAACCCTCCCCCTATACCTCTAGCCAATGTAGAAAAGTAAACGCATAACAATACGCACATTAAAATTCAGTTCAAGAGAAGTCCGAGTCTGATGTCAGAAGATGTAACCAAAGAAAATAAACAAAATGACAATAATACATAAATAACAACAGACTACTAGCAGTTAACTGACATGCCAGCTCCAGACTTCAATTAAACTGATTGAAAGATTATGTCTTCATCATATGAATATCAGACACAATCCTTCCCGTTAGGGGTTTAGTATCATACCATCATAACATATATGAGAAGAACATAACCCGTGTCATGCCAACAACTGGTTTTTAAATAAATGTGTTTAGTGCCGATGCAAAGACCCTATAAGTGAATCAATATTAACGCCAAAATATGCAATCTTTAATGACCTGACAACAGTATCGTAACTATATCCCTTCTTAATAAGTCTATTTAAAGGTTTTGTTAGCTTCAGAGGTGAATACTGACATTTTTGTGCTTTATAACGAATATTTCCATAAAAAATTGGATGTGAAATACCTGAACGTATAAGAAGTCTGCATGTTGAGCTATATTTACGAATGATGTCCTTATACCGATGATAAAATTTAGTAAATGTTTTGACTAGTTTGTGATATCGAAAACCCTGGTGTAATAATTTTTCAGTAATACATAAATTTCTCTCGTTAAAATCTAAAACATTGTTACATGCACGAGCGAATCGTACAAGTTGAGATATATAAACACCGTAAGATGGTGACAAGGGAACGTCACCATCTAAAAATGGATAATTAACGATAGGAAATGAAAAATCATCTCTTTTATCATATATTTTAGTATTAAGCTTTCCGTTAATGATATAGATATCAAGATCGAGGAAAGGGCAGTGGTCATTGTTAGTATTAGCTTTATTTAAAGTAAGTTCAACAGGATAAATTTCTTTAGTATACATACTGAAGTCGTCATTATTGAGAGCCAAAATATCATCCAAATATCTAAAAGTATTATTAAATTTGTGTATCAGATGTTGTTTCGATGGGTCTTTGCTGATTTTTGTCATAAATTGTAACTCATAGCAATACAAAAAAAGGTCCGCAATAAGTGGTGCACAGTTAGTCCCCATTGGAATTCCGATAACCTGACGATATACGGAATCTCCAAAGCGAACAAAAATGTTATCTAGTAAAAATTCAAGGGCATATATAGTATCAAAGCATGTCCAATTGACATAGTTTTTTTGTTTATTGCTACTAAAAAATGACCTAAAAGAGTTTGAACATATATATTCACATTCTGACTTTTTAAATGCCCATTTAATTAGGTGTGTGAATTTTTTCTTAATGAGAATGTGAGGCAATGTGGTATATAGGGTAGAAAAATCAAAACTTTGAACAGATTCAAAATCACCAATATATGCATGCAATTTATCAAGTACTTCCAACGAGTTCTTGACACTCCAAAAGTAATTAATTCCACTATTTTCGAAGGCCTTATTTGAACAATTTATTATCAGGTTTTTGATTGTACCAAGTGTACTGGTAAGAAGAATAGACAATTTAGTAGTGGAACAATGGCTTGAAGACGAAATGAATCTATATTTGTAAGGTGTTTTGTGTAGCTTCGGAAGCCAATACATAGTTGGGACTTTCATTGTATTTGGTTCTGCTTGTAAAGCGGTAGCTAAAAGTTTATGTTTGTTACAGATGTCGTTTTCTGAAAATGGAGTGTATATTTGTAAATAACTAATTGCCAATATAAAAGTTGTATTGGTCACGTTTATATTATGGAATGTTTGTGCATAAGAGATCATTAGAGATTAAGAACTCTAAAATGTCTCTGGATTCTAACCCCTGGAATGTACACAATTATGCGTGCACCATTATAGGCTGGCTAGCGTCAAAAACTACACAATTCCTGGTCTGCGTTTTATAAAAAGATAAACATGAATGTTGCGATGTTGTGTTTTTGTTTGTTTTGTTTTTGTGTGTTTTCATATACAGCGATGTAAAGTAATGAAGGCAAGACTACAAGTCCTTCTTAGTCTACGTGAAGACCAAAATATTATAAGAGACTTGACTTTGTCAACTTTAGCTTTCACTTACACAATTACAGTTAAGTGACATAATAAACACGGTGATGAAGTTTGGTGACAGAAAAAAAAACTTAAAGCCATTTTATCATTATATCAAGTGAATTCATCATAGCGATTGCTGGGATCCACAAAAATGGATAATGCACATTATAGTGACGAGAGGAGTCTAAATATATGACCAAACTATAAATGACTAAAGATAGCTCAAAACTGGAATTTTGACAAATTGTGAAAATTAACGGTATTTATCCGAAAAACATTTAATAAAAGTGGTTGTCGTTTGCTGCTGTATATCAATATTGTTTTTCGTTTATTGTTTTTTTTAATAAATCAGGCCGTTATTTGTCTCTTTTGAATTGTTTTATATTAGACATTTCGGGGCATTTTATAGCTTGCTTTGTGTAATGGGTTGTGCTCATTGTTGAAGGTCGTACGGTGAACTTAAGTTTCTTATTTCTACGTTATTTGGTCTTTGGTGGAAAGTCGTATCATTGGCAATCATACAGCATTTTCTTTTTGTTTTAGCTTAATCTATTTATGACTATTGAACAGCGGTATACTACTGTTGCCTTTATTTTATACGACCGCATTTTTTTTTTGCGTCCGTATTATGTTATGGCGATATCTGCGTCTGCGTCTGAAGACATTTTGGTTCGCAGACAATAACTTGAGTATAAGTGTATGGGTCTCTATTAGATTTTAGCACAACGTTGCATACCACAAAAGGAAGGTTGGGAATTATTTTGAGGGTTATTGTCGCAGCTGTTTAGTAATTAGGGGCCAAAAAAGGGTCAAAAACAAATATTTTTCATGTTTCAGGACAATAATTTGTGTATAAGAATATAGATTTCTATGAAATTTTACCACAAAGTTCCATACTTCAAAAGGAAAGTTGGGATTGATTTTTGGGGGTTCATGGCCCAAACCGGTTCATAATTAGGGGGTCGAAAAGGGGCCAAAAACAACTATTTATTTGGTTTGCAGGCAATAACTTGAGTATAAGTGTATGGATCTCTATTAAATTTAAGCACAAGGTTTCATACAGCATTAGGAAGGTTGGGGTTTATTTTTGGGATTATTATAGTAGCTGTTTAGGAATTAGGGGCCAAAAGCATTTTTCATGTTTCAGGACAATAATTTGTGTATAAGGGTATGGATATCTATGAAGTTTTACCACAAGGTCCATACATCAAAAGGAAAGTTGGGATTGATTTTGGGGGTCATGGTCCAAACTATTTAATAATTAGGGTCCAAATTTAACTTTGTTTGATTTCATCAAAATTTTAATTATTGGTGTTCTTTAATGTGAGCAATCTAAGACCCCGTTCACACTAGGACATTTATATCGATTTAAACTAGATCGGTTCACTTTAGATCGGTTTAAGGGCTAATGTGAAAGCTTTGAATCGATCTTCAATCGATCTTAACTAAAACACCAAAAAAGGTAGTTTAGTTTGAATCGATCTAAAGTGAACCGATCTAACTTTAAATGTGAACGCAAAGATCGGTTTAAACTAGTACGATTGAAGCGAAAATAATCTATGCGCATGTATAGCGACAAAACTACAAGTGTAATAACATAACACCCAAGTATGTATCGGTGGTTCGTTGTTAAACCAATATTTCTCTGTTTAAAAACAGACCTTTGTATACATGCAAGTAAAAACAAACGAAAAAAAAGTTGTCTTCGCCGTACCATAAATTTGTGTGTCTTCTTTTCTTCTGTTGTTTTTTTTTTGTTTTTTGTTGTTGTTTTTTTCTTCAGAACTGGAGCATTTCTTCCTTGCTACAGTTTTTGTGTTTCAAAATTAATGAAAACTACAAAAACACCAGTATCAAAATTTGAACTTGTGATTCAAGAGAAACAATAACTTCATTCATTTTTTTAAGAGTGTGTTTCAGTGTACCAACACATAAATTTGATTAATTATTTCTATTTATACACAATGTTTACAGTTTTACGGGTAATTAGGTCAGATCGATTGCATTTTTAATTGTAGTGTGAACGCAGTGGTTCAGATTAGACCGATAGAGATCGTTATGGTTAAAGATAATGTGAACGCTAACTGGTTTTATTTAGATCGATTCAAATTAGATCGATAAAAAAAATGCTAGTGTGAACGGGGTTTAACAGTGTTTTAATTTTTTTTATTTTGGGCCCGTTTTTCAAACTGTTCCACATTAAGGTCCAAAGTATCCAAATGAAACTTAAACAAAAATGGAATTCGTTGGGTTATTTGATATGCTGAATCTAAAGATGGATTTAGATTTTTGATTTTATGGCCCAGTTTTCAAGTTGGTCCAAATAGGGGTCCAAAATTAAACTTTGTTTGATTTCAATAAAAATTGAATGTATCGGTTGTTTGATACGCTGAATCTAACCATGTATT